CTCTCTCTCTCTCTCTCTCTCTCTCTCTCTCTCTCTCTCTCTCTCTCTCTCTCTCTCTCTCTCTCTTGTAATATCATCCTATGTCGTTCTGAAAAAGAATATGGCTATGAAAGTATACGTGACTTTTATCCATATCGGATCCGATTTTAATTGCGAGATTCTCGCTTTTGCATGAAATTTATCTCGTTGTTTTGTTGAATAGTGTGCTGTATTTCACAGAATCACCGAGAGTACGATGTGGCATTGTCAAAGTACAAAGTCGCGGCGCAAACCATTCCAGAATCTTCGGTGCTTTGGAATAACATCGGAATGTGCCTTTACGGAAAACAAAAATATGTTGCGGTAAGTCTCTCCGTTCTTCCTCTTTTTCTTTTCGAATTCTTCTTGGAGCACCGTCGAACGCAATGTACTTGGAAATTTCAAGCAGTAAAGTGGAAAACTACTTTCTTACTCAATTTGCAATAACATCTTTGTTAACAGAAAAGAAATAACTTCTTAGGGGTAATATCAATAAGAAGCTTTAGACAGCGTATATATTACAACAGGAAATAGGAAAATCTCATTTATTTCTCATACACATGCAGATTTATCGAAATATACTCAAAGTAATTTATTATATTATATTTAATTATATTATATTATATTTCCTTATTAGCGAGCTAATGTAATTTTAAACAAATATTCCGTCATGAATATAATGCCGTTTAATCAAATCGGATTATTAAAAAGATCTGCAACCCAATGCAGTTTGTAGCACCTGATTCGATGCCTTGATACATCGAAGTGCATCGTCTCGTTGCACTATTTCATTATTTCACATCGCGTTTCACAACGCAAATCGTCGAACATGCGACACATACAGGAAGCATATTTGTAACTTATTTACCAGACGAATAGTCGTGCAAAATGTCATGAGTCAGAGAAAAGACAGAAGAAGTCTCTTGACGATACCTCGAAATGAAATGAGAAACCGCGATGCTTTAAGGATAACCATAATACAGGCTGATATCCTATACTCGTGTTTTTCTCAAGACACGAATATAAGATATAATATGACGCGACCTGTGGTCGTGAAATTGTTATAACCGTGATTCTCAATTAGCGTTGCATTTTGCAAGAAAATTTATTATAAAATTGAAACCGTGTGTTTTACGCGCATGTCGCCGAAGGTAGTGCCATTGCAATTATAAAGAAAGAATTTTTATCGCTACCTATTATGCGAAATGGAGATAAAAATGTGAGAAAGAGAAAAAAGAGCGCGAAACAATAGCGTCGCGTTTTAATGCTTTGCAGGCTATTAGCTCTTTGAAACGAGCTCATTATTTAAGTCCATTATCTTGCATACCATCGTGCAATCTGGGAATAGTTTTCCTCACCACTGGACAACCTGCGTCCGCTGCGATTTATTTATGCGCTGCAGTTAGCGCCGAACCGAAGAATCCTACACCGTATTTGTTACTGGGTCGTAAGTAAAAAAAAAATAACTGGAACTATCTAAGTAAACGCAGAGCCTTGTGTATTGTCGAAGCCTCACAAAATTCAATCTTAACATTATAAGATCAAAAATATAAGATTTCTGGCAAAGCGAGCACCGCGAAGAGATATTTCTTTTACGCTTGCGCACTTATTTATTTTACAGTAAAATTTTAATCCTTCATCTTTTATTAGTGGCTCTGAAACGCCTGGATGACTTAGAAGGCGCTGAGAGATCTTTAACGAAAGCTCACGCTTTAGCCCCGCAGGATCCATTGATATTGATTAATTACGCCGTAGTTCTCGACGCACGTGATAAACAAGCTAATGCCACTGAAATTTTAATTGCGCTCAACGATATTATGGCTGTTGTTGATGTCGACATACAGGTAACTTGAAAATCGCGCAACATTCTCGAAAGCACCAGTGCATTAATGCATTGCGTGGCTATATTTTATGGATGACTTTTCATGGCATATTTTTTGACATATAGATATCACAAATGGCGAAAAAGTTATCCAAAAAATTAAATCACGAGGAAACAAAATCAATCGCCAGTGAGGAGCCGCCGACGGGCAATAGTGAGGAGCGGCTATTAACTGCTGATGAAGTTTAAAAGCTACGCCCAAATTTCAATTAACGAAAACATGAGTTTTTTGCAATTAAATTATCTAACATTTTTATTGTTCCATACAGCAACTTATACGAAATAGCAACACTTGAGGACATACATTGCGTTTACTTATTTATTATTCACATGCCTTAAAGAGAAAATACACACGTAGAACATAGCGCACCGACTTTACAAGACACAGAGATGAAACCACAAGAGATCAATTGTACAGAGGTCAGTTTTGAGAGTAAAATCGAACACGTGCACAGATAATTTATTTTTAGAGATAACACGTATTTAATTATATTGATGGGCTTACACTAGCCATTATCGTTTATGCAATAATCTTTTTATTCCGGATGAGTTCATTTAATACCATAAATTGTTAAGCTCAACTTTCATTTCGCGTATAAAATAATAAAGCTTCATTTGCTACAATTTCCAATTAAAAATAGAGAGAAAGAAGGAGAATTTCGCAGAACCTCTCTTTATAAACTACTATAATTCTTATAATTACATTATACGTATGTGCTTTGTACTTCGATTTGCTGCTGGTTTATCGTTGACCACTTTTTCATAATTCGAGGTTTGAACAATTGCCCAAAGATCATACGAAATTGTCGCGACATAGAGCAGTATAAGATAAAATTTATGCTACCATTTAACAACGCTAAGATATCCATCATCTCTCCAAACTTATGGTAACAATTGCGAAAGAAACAATCGCCCAGAGCCGCGGAGAGTAAACCCAAGATACCTTGAGGAATTTCTGTTATGAGAAATAACAACAATACTGCTACAAGCATCCTCGTTGTTCTGTCCGTTCGTTTGTCAGATTTGCTCACTCTTCGCGGGCATCCATCCCTTTTAGTATCGAACAAGTGACTTTCAAAGTTGGAGTTTCTCGACGATAAAGTTGATTTTCTGGCTCTTGTAACGCAATGACTGTAGTTTTTCAGAATCTGTTTCCTGCCCTTCGCCCTGAATCAAAGGAAATCAGGAATTGAAGACGTACGGATAGAACGCAAATGAGAGATGATTAATAGATAAACTTTAACTAGTTGCCTACTGTTATAATTTACCTATAAAGAGCTTTTATTAACCAACAGATGATGACGGTGAGTAGGACGCACGGTAGAAGTTTAACGATCACGCCGAGTATCCAGAAATTTAATTGATACAGGAAGCCTTGGTCGACGGAGTAATTAACGTCTACGTGATATAATATCTCCGTAGTGCCGTTCTCATAAACGGTCTGTGCCTTTATCTGCCGTAAGGAAATTGGTGCTTACTGCAGCGATCTTTCTGACAGAGAGTATCCCGACGCAGAATGATTTTTGCATTTACTTACTCCAAACACGAAGTAGCTAGGCGCACAGGCGAAAAACGGAGCGAGGAAACTGCAGGAGAGAGCGAGCGTACAACGCCTTCCGGTGCACCAAATGTGATTGTACTGTGGAAATCTGACACGCGAAAGTGAGAATCCTTTCTAAGAACGTTCCCAATGCCTCGACATACTCGAAATCGCGAGAATCGACACTCACCTAATAGCGATGTACCTCCAAACAGCCAAGGTGAGAGTGAGCGCGATACTGATCGTGTGAAGGAGCTGCGTGAAATGCATATGGAATAGCACGAACACAGCCCATCCGTAGGGAAATATTCTACGCTGCGGCAGCACGAGATACTTGTAAATCGCGAAAGGTATGTACTCCAGCATCACTAGCATATCCGCCGTCGCGAGTCCGGTCAGGATGCGATTTATAGGGGCTATTTTGGTATCTTTTCTCGTGAGGACGATGATGTTGAGCACGTTGGTGAACGTGCCGAAGGAGCACACCATGAGAGCGGCATAACCATGGTAATTTTTGTATTGCGTCGCCAGATCGCGGATTGCACCGTCGCAATAACAGGAGGTTGTTAATTGCACCGTTTCGATTCGGGTGCTTCTGTCCCCGTCGCCACTTCCACCCCCCAAGATTTGGCCGCCACCGCGGCTTCCATCGAATCTGTTGCTACTGTGATCGGTCAAGTTCTCGAGGTCGAAATTGTTCACGTAATCAATGTCCTCGTCGGTGATGTTGAGCCGGCGAAAAATGTCCGTGTAATTCCGCAGGCGATGCATAATCGATACTTTTCCGCGCGCGCGACGTTCTCAGAGGTGTATCAGAGATGTATCTGTGCGTATCTCGTACCGATTGTAAATGCTGATCGAATGACGATGTTGCGTCGTGACATTCCGTTCTCACTGTTTCGCGAGCACGCTCGCGTCTTCGACGCGATCGTGATTCTCTGTCGGAACGTTATCGCACATCACTATCATTTAACAGTCAGCTTATTATATCTCTAATTCGCAATTAATTTGCGGATTTGCGGATTCCCCTTCATTTTGCGCTCTATTGGAATTATGGACAGAACGCGAAAGAACGAGCGCTGCGAGCAAAAATTGAATATACGCGTTGCATTTGCCTAATGGATGGCGTGTTTCGGTCAGAGATTAAGGAGATTAAGTTGAACACAGCGAACTCGATTTTGTCGATCGAGCGTATTCCCGGGATTTTTTGCCGAATGACCTACCCATTTAGAACGCTATTTCTTTGCCCGCTCCGACAGAAGGGAAGCAAGAGCTGGAAAAAAACGATACCATAGAGATATACGTGTGTTTCGTGTGTGAGTTGTGCGGAGGAACATTGCACGGATTATTCGATCGCATGTACACACATGTATGTACACTTACACATACGGTGGAGTTAACGATCGAACGTAAGTAATAACGTGGCACTGTACGATATATTCGTCGTCAAACGGCAACAGGTTACAGCAACAGAGGATTGCACGAGCAGGTCTATCCGACGGGTAGTCGCGCTACTGGCTACTATTGAAAATTCACGGGCATCCTTTACTCCCTCTCGACGTTTTCCTCCTGCGCTCTGGAAGAGCCTGCGCGCAGGACACGGATGGTCCATCACGATATTGGCGCGTCTGTTCACATCGAATATCATGAGTCAAGTATGCACGCTTCGAGTGGTGTTCGCTTCGTTATTAGCCGTTAATGAGCAGCGCGTGCATTGAGCGCTTAAGAACAACCAACTGGTACACAAACAGAGTAATGTGCACAATTGAATCTTTATTTCAATACTGCTTTCCCTTCAGCGGGGCTTCCTTTGCGATCGTTGTCGCTCATATCGATTATATTCAATCTGCAAAGAGGTTTTTTATGTTGCACACAAACGTCCAATAATTATTGGTATAAAAATGTCGGCAATCGCGTGTCCCTCTCGCTCGTGTAGTGACCGCAGGTGAAATTATTGTCTAATTTAAATTAGATCGCCACGCGCGAAATATTTTCTTTCTCTTTCCTTCTCTCCACTTCCTCTCGTTCGCTCGCCATTGTTTATTTACCATTATATCTCGTTCAACTGTATTGACCGTAACGGAGGGAAATGGAACGTTTAACGCGTCGGTAAAATGTGGAAGCGTAGGAGAAATAGAAAGGAATATTTTTCACCTTCATATACAACCCTTTGTATTCCGGACCTACCACGGATCAGCGCGTCGCCTAAATTTATGCGCACGAATGGCTCGGTACACCGAAGAAGAAATCCAACGGAGGGCATGAAAAGTGGAAAGAAAAACAAGAAACGGAGTGACGATTAATGCTTAGACTTGGAATTTAATTTTTCACTACGCAACGATGGTGCCTTCAGCCAGCCTTTTTCGTGAAAAAATACTATCGCAGAGAGCGACAGTCCGACCAGCAGCGTATAAAATGACGTCTGCAGGTCGGACAAGCTGAACGCCACGAAACGATCCGCTTCGTTCTCGCTTCGCTTGGCCAGCAACTTCTTTTTCATGACGGTGCGTTGAATGGTGCGGCTGGTCCAAAGCGTCGGCAAACCGGCTTGATTCAATTGACCAATTAGCGCATTCACTCTGTCGCGTAGAATTGAATTCCTTGGCAGCAGATACGACAGATAGTACGTACCTGATGTGTACGTACGTGTAACGTTAAAATACGTGTAAATATGCAAGAATGATTATCACGAACCTCAACGAATCGAAATTTTAGCCCTACTTTCGAACTGAACTTTCAAATATCTGTACATTCTGAAGGATCAGTATATGTTTAACACACATGAAACTGAAAGCCTACTTAACTAAACCTCTAAATAGCAAAAAATGTACAAAATGTCATTTATAGGTTCTAAGTTAGTAGATTAAATAGAATTAAAAGAGATTGATGTAGACTTCAGAATATCAAAATAGGTTAAACGTGAAATATTGAGAAATGAAATATTAAATGAAATATTGAGATCGAAAGTAGGGTCGATATTTCAATTCGGGTTTATACCTGGACATTCCTTAATGAGATGAAGCAGCGGCACGCCGTCCATGTCGACCAACTCCGCGCCTATGATAGCGAAATGATGTTTCCTGATTAATCCTGTGACATTGCGATAATAGGCCGCGTTTTTCAAGGCGTCATAACCGTGTTGCAGCTTCCCCTTTAGGCTTTGTATGAGCGGCGTCGCATCCATGTCATTTTTGGGACCGAAAATATCGCTCGTGCTGTAAGAAGTGAACAGTATCGGCAATCTAGAGGCGTCCAGGTCTTCCAGACTGTCAATATCGTTGTAATACATGTCGTGCGCAAAACTTTTGTACAGCATACTATTGAAGTATCCTACTATGGTGATGTTGCCGAGGAAAATACCCGACAATAATATCCTTTCGGCATTCGTGCATGGTAGCTTCTGAGGACAACCGCAGGTGAATAAAAACGATCGATAGACCGTCGTGAAGAAATTGACCCTTCCCACTCTGGAAATAAATTTTGACGTTACATGACGCGACATTTTCTGTTTTCGCCGCATACGGAGGAGAGAACAAGGAAGATAATTAGCTTCGATAATTACTTTAGACTTGAGTGCCATACTATACCTTTGTGGATTGAAGGTTTGCAACAAATACCACGTGATATATGTGAAGACGTGAGACAGCATTGAGCAGATCCAAATCGTGAGCGGGAAAAAGTAATATATTCGAAGCCACTTGGGTATCTTGGACGCCTTGGGCACGATCACGCATAATCTGTCGAACTCGATTTGCGTCGTAAATTCCATCAGCATATTGTTCACACCAGGGTTGTATTTCTTCACGAAGAAAGACTCGAAACAGATGTCCGTTCTGCCGTACACTATGTCACCTGCGTAATTAGGCTGTATATGTATTACCGAATACTCGGCAGAGCGCAAAGGAAAAGGAGAAAAGAGCCCTACTTAAGATGATGAATACAAAGCGATAAGATTACATTTTACTAAGTCTGAATTTCGATCTAAATGAGTCATCTTACTGATTCACATTGATTTAAATTGAAATCTTATATAACATTATCGTTTTGCATTTATCATTTTAAACAGGGGAGGGGAAAGTAAATGTCTCTGCGTTACATTAGTACCTATAGCACCGACGTACGTTCCATTGGGTAACTGATAACCAAATGATTTATTATCCGTCGGAGGTATCCGTTTCACCGTGAAATTCATCTGTCTAGCAATTATATCCAGTATTGTCTCGTCAAAGCCTTTGAAAATATTGGAAAAATTGTATCGCATGCTGGTCGATGTAATCGAATTGTTCAACGTGCTCGCGACGGTTGATTCGCTCCCCTCAAATATGCCCACTTTTAATTCATATCCATTGAGATTTCGAGTGCAACGGTATGTTGTCAAATTCGACGAGCGTGTCGTTGTATTTACGTTCACAATATTGATTCCACCCCATGCTGAAATTCAAATTATTTCAATATGCCCCATTCACACGTTCCTAGTCGAAATTTGAATTCTATTTTCGATCAAAGATTTTTAACATCTGTATATTCTGAAGGATTCCATGTCGAAATTTTAAATCTATTCCTGATCTAAACTTTCGAACATTTGTAGTAGTAGTATTTATTACCATTCAGCTACAAAATAGCCAAAAAGAGGACTTGGTTTACATTGAATTCTATCTTGTACTTATCCACTCATCCATCCATCCATTCTTCCATACATAAATATATTACTCTTATCTCTATTCTATCTCCTCGTCACCTTATCACAAACTTGTCACAGCCAAATTACATTTTCGCTTTACTTTTATGTTATTAATTATACCTCCTTTCCACTACAGTTGCTAACGCCTCTTTTAAATATATTCCCTTTATTACTAATTTTCTTATTATTTATACATACATTTTCGCAGTAATCTACCCTTTGCCTTATTCTCATCTATCCTTTTCTTTTTCTTTTATTTTCTTCTCCCTTTCTTTCCATATTCTTCTTAAAACCTTATCTTTAATTTTATCTATTTCATCATTCCATATCCTTTCCATCCTATCCATTTCCTCAAACCATCTCTTTCCCACCTCATATGTATACATATAATGTTTCATCTCATCTTGCTCCCTACCACACAGTACACACATCCTCTCTTCCTCTTCTAACTAATACTTATTCTTCAACTCCAAATTACCACATCTTAGCTTAATAAGCGCCCTCACCTCTTCTCCTGACCTTATCCTCACCAAACTGCTCTTTTCTAGGTACTTGTATCCCTCCCCTACCTTCCTTATCTCTTTATATCTTTTGTTATATCTAGCCTCCATAATCCTATTTTCCATCCATTGTTTTTGTTTTCCATCCACTTCCCTTTCCCTTTTCGTTATTTTTCCTTCTATATCCCAGTTTTCTTTCCTTCCTTATTTTATTCTCTCTAATCCCCAACCATTCCTATTATAATATTTTTCCCTTTTCCTTCCATACAAATCTTTCCATTCACCTTCCTCTTTCTCTCCCCAATATTTTCTTATTAAACTTTCTTCACTGCTGTTCCCAATCTTTTCCTCATGCCTTTTCGCCCTTATGTCTCATCCTATTTTTAATTTCTCCATTCCTAGTTCATACATAATAATATACTTCGGTTTGAACATTTGTATATTCTGAAGACTTAGAATATGTTTAATGCACAAAACTCAAGTCCTACTTCCCACATAGCAAGAATGTCCCAAATACATCATAGGGATATCTTGAAGATATCGCATATCCCAAATATATCTTTAGGATATCCTTATGATATATTTTGGACACTTCTGCTGTGTGGATTAGCACTCCTAAATGGCAGGAAATGCACAAAATATCACTTGTAGCTTCTAAAGAGGATCTCTTGGCAAAACTAGTAAGTTAAATAAAATCATAACAGAGTCTCCTTCTTTTATTAAATATGGTTGAGAAAAGAAATCCCAAGGATTAGTTATTGGTATCGAAAGAGATTTCAATATAAGTTTTAATATAAGTTTCATATAAGTTTTAATATAAATTTTGATATAAGTTTGATATAAGTTTCAAGGTTAAATAAAATATTGAGATCGAAAACAGATCCAATATTTCGACTCTAGTATCGATATGCGGAAGATATAAGTCAATACGCGGACATGACAATGACCTAAACAGTATAAATCTCTAAGAGACGTCTTAGATGTGTCCTGGGGACGTCCTTAGGACGCAGGGATGTCTTTAGTACATTCCTTGGAGATTTGTGCTATCTAGGAAGCTTCGTCAACGATGTGCGCGATCTTATGATATAGATGAATACACTATTTACGAACCAGATTCGTTGATTTTGGCAAACGGATTGTAAGTGTTCACGAGTCGGTTGATTCGGGTCGTGTCATTTACGAGAAGCCCGTCCGAGATAAAGACGTTGTACATCTTATGTTCGTACCACAGCGTTCTCAAGATATCCTCGATGTTTACACTTGATTCGCTTCCTCCTTGATGTTTCCTTCGATAAACGATCAACACGATAAATCGATCCCGTGGATTCCACTCAAACATCTCGTCCCGCAGGACCCGATCGAAAGATGGAAGGTCTCTCGCGAAAACCACGTGTACGTTCCATGTGTTTTGCTCGTGCGGGGAAACTCGATCTTTCTGTGCCGGAATTCTTTTAACTGCCGGCCGTGTTGCGAAAATATCCGCGTCGCCAGAGGTAATCCTCCAAATCGACGACCATTTCACGCTCCCACGCACCGTGTCGTCATCATCGGCGATAAGCTCCGCGTCCGTCGAGTCTCGAGACACATAAGTCTTCAGCACGATTGTCATCTCGCACTTCTGCGCGACAGTGTGCACCAGCTCATCGAAGCATTGCGACGCCGAAGCGGAACGCCGATCACTGTCGAGCACTCGGTGAAAATTCACGGTCTTGCAGTTTTCCATCGAGCAAACGACGTTGCTCCAAAATTCGACTGCCTCGCGCCATTGGCAGCCATCGATTGATGCTGCGCTCAGGAACAACAATGCTACGAGAGTAAACTCGCCTGCCAGCTAGAAATAATAGTCGTTTGATTTTTTGCTAAAACGCAAGCGACAATGGCTGCATTCAGCAGAGAAAACTAGCAACTAACAGAAAAATTGCAATATGATAAGTGTTGTATTAACAGCTATATTGTTGAATGGCAAATAATAATAACATTGACATACTTATTACTAGTCACTATTAGTTGATGTTTACAGGGTTGCTTTGCAATCGTAAAATTTGTGAGCCTGATTGGTGTATCCCCTTAATCTCGTCTGAATCTAAGAGCATATATCGCAATTAGGCTCACGAATTTTACAATAGTTGCAAGAACCAGCCTTTTCTGTTTAAAGGGACTGGAAGATCAGATTGTCTGAAAATCGTGCTTTCACAATTTTTTATAATAAATTGAATAAATATACGAAAGTGTTATTTTGACGTGTATACAACATATAAAGATAAGAAAAATATAATTTTGATGATCAAATACTCAATGTAAATATATGGTACATGCAATTAAAATATATTTCGTTTTTCTTTTTCAGTCGTTATTTTGCAGTAATATCTTGACTCTCGGTTGTTCAATTAAGCTGAATTTTAGATAGAAAATTTTTGTAAGCTTGTCGCTTGGGTGAACCACTGATAGAACTCGTGAAAATATTTAATTTTAAAATATTAATTTTTTTACTATAAAAGAACGGAAAATTTAATAATATTCCATTAAGATATTTGCAATTTTGTTAACTTTTACTCAATTTCTATCATAATGATTCACACGATAACGACAAGCTTACGGAAATGTTCTACTTAAAATTCAGTTTAATAAATCTCGGTTAACCACCGAGAGTCAAGATATTACTGCAAAATGACCTTGAAAAGAAAAACAAAATATATTTTAACTGCATGTACCATATACATATTTATATTGAATATTGGATCAAAATTTTATTTTTCTTCTCTTTATATGTTAATGTAAATACACGTCAAAATAACACTTTTGCATATTCATTCAATTTGTCATAAAAAATAAGCACGATTTTCAGGCAATCTAACCTTCCAGTCCTCTTAACGCGACATATATGACTCGCAAGTCCTTTCATCGTATATATTGGGAGTGTGTATTAATTTTAAGGGATTTTTTGATAAAAATACGGCTTCATTGTGAAAAAATGGTTACAAATTGATCATTCAAAATAATGTCCATCGCTAGCCACTACTTTTTCCTATCTTTCTGGTAATAAGTGGATTCTACGTCGAAAGAACGACACATCTTTTGAGGCTATCCACGAATCGACTCATTTTTTTATATCCTCATAAGAATAGAAGCGCTGCTCAGACAGACCATGAGTCATCAATCGAAATAGGTGGTAATCGGAAGGAGCAATATCTAGAGAATATGGCGGGTGTGGTAGGACATTCCAGTTAAGCGCTTCTAACGTTTCCTTAACCGGCTTCGCAACATGTGGCCGAGCGTTGTCGTGCTGGAAAATCACTTTGTCGTGTCTTTTCGCGTAATCTGGTTGTTTTTGTTTCAATGCTCGATTCAATTGCATCAACTGTTGTTGGTAGCGTTCCCCAGTAATGATTTCGTTGGATTGGAGCAGCTCATAATATACTACACCCAGCTGATTTCATCAAATATAGAGAATGAGCTTGGCGCTATGAATATTCAGCTTTGCCGTCGATGTTGATAGTTCGCCTGGCCTGCATCATGATTTTTTGCGCTTTGGATTATCGTAGCGTATCATTTTTCATCACCCACGATATTATGCAAAAAACTTTTTCTTGTGTGTCTTTGAAGCAACAATTCACAGGTCCTTTTGCGCCTTTCGATGTCCCTCGGCTTCAACTCGTACGACACCCAATTTCCTTGCTTTTGAATCATTCCAATGACCTTGAAACGTCTGGAAATCGTTGATCGATTAACATTTAATGATTCTGCAAGTTCTTCTTGCGTTTGACTCGGGTCTTGATCGAGTAAAGCTTCCACTTCCTCATCTTCAATCTTTTTCGGCTGGTCTGGACGTTTCTTGTCTTCCGCATCAAAATCACCTTTTTTATCGTCAAAACCAGTACTCACATGTTGAAATCGATGGAGTATAATCACCATAAGCTTCCTACAGCATTCGTTGACTTTTAGCAGCACTTTTTTTCAAATGGAAGCAAAAAAGTAAAGCTTCCCGCAAATTGCGTTTTGTTGGCACAAAATTCGACATATTGAATGCTCAAAAAAACAATGTTGTTTACACTTCGGTAAAATGACACATACTGAAAATTAAAGCCACATAATAGCTTTGACATGAAGGTAGCAACAATATGGCCCAATGCGATATAGTACTATTATTATATATTATGCCATTTCTTGAAAATTCTTTAAAATTAATGCACACTCCCAATACATATATACATGTATACAAGGTGTCCGACGATAAATATAAAATTTACATATGCGTATAGATTATGTCAAACTGAACAAAAAATTCCTCTACTATTTTGCAAAGAACCACATAGATTTTTTAGTTATTAATTAGTGAAGATTAGAAAACGATCGTGCGTGATTACTTGCCAATCTCCTTTAATTGACAACTCAAAAATCTACATAGTTCTAAAATGATAGAGAACTTTTTCATTTTTATCCAATGTACAAGCACACAATACAAAATATACTTACCGTCACGCCCTGCACCACATCCTGCGCGATCATTTGTTAATCTTCTTTAATTAATAATTCCAAATTTCACATAATTGTTTGTAAAATGGTAAAGTAATTTTTTATTCAGTTTGACTTAATCTATATCTATACGAGAGTTTTATATATTATCGTCAGACATTCAGTATATACACGCATATATTGACATACCATGTTTTGCGAGCGTCAACGCGAGTGTTCTCTTGTTTACATTGCCACTGGACCTCTCCAAGTTCTTCATCGTGCACTTTTTCCCGTTTATTATATGTGTGTACAATACGTGTCTTAATTGGTCGACATCGCTCACCCTTATCGTTACTGATTGTTGTGGCCAACCCTCTTTTTCATTGTCACATTGGACGCGTGTGTGTGCTTTCGATCGTTAGATCAACTCTCCAGATTGTAGCTCGACAAACGACCAGATAAAGATAAACCCACCTGCCGTCGTTCATTGCTCGTCAACACAAATCACTTGTCATATCTCTCGATTAACGCTTAATTGCGCCTTCTTCACACTTGACTCTCACGTGAAGTTACCCTTTTTCTCTTTACAGACATATAACACAGACAAACTTCTATAAAGAGATTCTACTGAAGTAGATGGTCGTTCTGATATAAAGGAAGACGATTTTTCACGACGAGTCGTCATTAGCGGGGATAAATACGCGGTAACGAAGAATCGTAGACAGGTAACACGTCATTCTCACCGCAAGCACACTTATGGTATGGAGAGTGTGAGTTATAATAATATTAGCTCTTCTTATCTTCTTTTTTTTCAGTGACATCGGTGTTTACTGGTGTCGTTACTCGCCAGCTGAGCCTTTAACTTAATGACATGTCGGAAGATTGACGTTTACGAGGGGAAGTAAACGTTTGCTCAGTTCATTCAAGGTAAATATAAGGAAGTAGGAGAGAAAGATATAAAGCAGCAACGAAACGATATTTCTGGGTAAAAGGTGTGCGTTCAGCGGGTCCCGCAAGTCTAACGCACAACAAGTCGAGCCGGCTCGTCGTTTTAATCGTCCCTTTGTTTTTCGTGTGTACCTTCATTTGCCGCATGCAAAACATCCCTTTCACAAATTTGCAACGCGAAAGTCGACGCGGGCAGGAAACAAGACAGGAGCACCGTGAGAAGATCGGACGGAAGTTCGCAACGCAGTCTGCAGTTTTCTTTTCGTTGAGACAATCGTCGCATCTCACGGATGAACGGAGGACGTTAGTATTTGCCGCCGCACTTGTCCACGTCTGGCAGTAATGTCTATCATCGCCTTCCTGGTGCCAACAACGTGACGCACGGTGACGGAATATCGATTGAGCGACGGCAGAAAGAAGAGAAGAGGCGCATCGACGAATTTTAAACTCACTGGAAAGAACGACGTGTTGAGAAGCGCAATGGCGGATCTCTGCTTCACAAATTCGATTTTAATGCTCTTTTTCCGAGCTGTCGCAAAGAGAATGATTTACGACGTTCTTCCACTTTTCCGACGAGGCATCAATCCACATGACAATTAACAGACTGCCCACACACGTACCGTTTGGTCAAGCTCGTGAGAATGCAGTGAAATTCCATTTGGAACGATGCTAACGACGACAACCCTCGATGGACGTGCGTCCGTGTTTTTGTTTGGCCTCGTATACGCGCGCATGTGATTTCCATTTGATCTGACGATAAAAAGAGCGCGACTCTAACTACATCCACGTTCATACTGTTTTTCAGTTTCACCGTATCCATATAAAGTTTACGCTTCATACAGTGGAATTTACATTGATTGAGTGAATCGAACAAGGACAGAGCCGTTCGTCTCCGATCCTCCTCATAATGTCACCGGCAATATCATTTTGCTTATTAGTGACGACTTTGGCGCTAATGTCAGCTGTAAGGAGCACGACTGGCACGAGATACAAGATCACTGTGAGGGACGACGCATTAACGCGGACGGAAAGTAAAAATCTCAGGACCATCCTGAATTACGTTCGAAACGAGCAGCGAATGTATCCGACGACGATGTCTCTCGTGTACCTCAACACGCATTCCGACCTGGTGGACTTTGTGTCCAAGTACGTGGCAAGCGAGTCGATCGTCAGCTACAAGATCACGACGAGCAGCCTGTCGTGGAAATCCTCGTGGCAGAATCGCGTCGATCTCATATGGATCTTGATCGTCGACGACATCGATCTGCTGGATTTCTTCGTACACGAGCAGAGCCACATCTGGAAGGCCACCAACCAGTATCTGATCATCATCACCGCCGAGAACGTCGCGACGAGAGAGCCGCCGCGAGAAATCTTCCAGAGCGTTTGGAGGAGCTACAATGTCCACCGGATCGTCACTGTCTCGATTCAGGAGGAATTTCGATGTTTGAGCAGATACTTTCCGTTCGAGAAGAATCAACAGAGCAAATACGGCGTCGTGCGCAAGATCTGCCCGATGGATCGGCAAGCCGACGAGGAGCTGTACGACAAAGTCGAGAAGCTCAACGGGTACCCGATACGCGTGATCGTGTTTCAGTCTCAGATGATGCACGTGGAGTACAACGAGGACACAGGCAACATCACGTACACGGGGCTGGACGCGGACGTGATGTTCCTGCTGGAGAAAATGATGGAGGCGACATTCCGCATCGAGGTGATACACGATTATTACAACGACGATCCCTTTCATTCCGCCCTTCAGCATATAGAGGACGGTGAGTCAGACTTGATCGTCACCAGCTACTTTCTGCACGAATACGAGGAGTACCACCAATTCGAGTTCACGACCAGCTTCTACGAGGACCAGCTGTGCCTGATCGCTCCCGCCGCTGGCTTCATGCCGAAATCGTACATGCCGATATTGCCGTTCACGCCCGAAGTGTGGGCGCTCCTCGCGGCGTACAACTTCTTCGTGACCGTGCTGTGGTTTCTCATCAAGTACTACAGCGTCTCGTTTCGTCGGCGAAATGCTATCATACTTCCCTTAACGATCGACAGAAGATCAGCGACGAAGGGACTCGTAACGGTGTCGACGTCACGACAGCCGGATTTATCGGACTCGCCGCCGAGAATACACCCGTACGTTTTATCGTGCTTCGATCTCGCCGAGACATGGTGCTATCCGTTGAAGGAAAACGGCGGTGGTGTCGATAGCACAACCGCTCAGAAAGCCCTCTTGTTAGGCACACTCTTCTTCGGCCTCATCGTCACCGGCCTCTACCAGAGTTGTCTGGTGTCCAGCTTGAGCGACCCCTTTCATTATCCCGAGCTGAAAACTCTGGAGGACGTGGCTAACTCCAATCTCACGATAGTTACTAAGTACGACAACCTGAAACAGAACACGTTCACGGAGAACACTACTTTGGCCAAGAGACTGAAGAATAAGGTGAAGGTAGTCTTCTCCGACAAACGCACCAACGACATGGTGGCCTTCGGCAAGGACGTAATCGCCCTCGGCCGTTACGCGTCGATCAAGCTGGACAATTTGTCCAATTACTTTGACGAAGATGGTAACGAGCTGCTTCACATAGTCGAAGAGTTTCCAACTACCTACTTGTTGTCTTACGTGGTGCAGATTTACTCGCCGTATCGGGAAAGGATCAACGACTTACTATTACGTATGCAGGAAGCGGGTCTCGTGGGGCTGTGGTATAGAAACATGGTGTATCCGATGTACGCGGACGAGCAGCGGAGAAAAATGGCCAAGAGCGATAGGAGAATCAAATTAACTTTGGAATATTATTCCCTCACGTTTCTGGGGCTCTCGCTCGGTTTACTTTGCTGCGCTATCGTGTTCCTGGCGGAACTGTATTTCGCTAACCGGCTCTGTCGGAAAACGCGCGCTAATTTTCGCTGTATCGCAAAATAGAATTTACTCTTTCCATTTTACGTGGCGCAAGTTTGTTTTCTTTTCGACGGCTCTCGATGCGTTTGTTCGCGCGGACCCTCCCGCCGATAATTCGCCGAAATTCGAGCGCGCCACTCGAATCGTTTTAACGGAGCGCTTCACATATCTGATAAACTGACTCGTTATCACACCTGTACGTTCTCGCGACAATGTCGAATTTAGGCGCGATGATTCGACAGCGATGTTAGATCAACAGCTGTTCCGTTCGCAGCAATTGAGTTTGATTAATCGAGTGTAATTGAGAGGCTAAGTGCCTTTCTGATATCGATCGATCGAGAAACCCTTCTACCTTCCGTGATACATAATTATTTGAAAACGACATTGAGCACGAGTTAACGCGCAAGTGATATTCCGAGGAGAAACGGAGTTTATTTTAGGAATCTACGAAAATACGCACACGCGCTTCTACGCGTCTCGAAGAAGAAGAGGAAGAAGAAGAGGCTAAAGCTCAGTCACAAATCGTTGCTCGATTATAGAGTCATGGCCTCTCGAAGATACATGCCATTGGCAGCGATTTTGATAACTATATGTTTAGGTACGTGCGCAATTCACAGTACAATCATGTTAGTCGATATAAAGAGCCGTAAATATAGGTATATCTGATTCTCTCATAGATTTATCGTCCGTCGTCGTCAACGTCGTCGCTGCTGCGGTCGTGTGGGATCCAAAAGATTCTAGGCGAGTACCATTATTATGATTTTCCACGCGAGAGAGAGAGAGAGAGAGAGAGAGAGAGAGAGAAAATGCGATATTCTTCACTCGAAAAACTGAACTTTCGATCTTCCAGACTTAAATATAACGTAATTATTGAGCACAACTGTGTATCACGTTTGACAGCAGGTACGACAGTTACAACTTGGACAAAGGACCGGTATTTTACGAGGCGTATTATCCCGACGTTCAGGATAACGCTTATCACGAGAAACGCTACTTCGACCGGAGCGCAGTGCTGGAGACGAGCTTTCAAATACCCTCCAATCGTTTCGCATACTCGGCCGAAAGCGCGGATCGGCCTGTCTCGAATGACGAATCGTCGTACGTCTTAGTGAATAACGAGAATCTACCAGAGGAACAACGAAAAAACGTAGGTCCTCGACGCAATCTTGTGCCTTTCGACGATCAACGCTCGATACTCCTCGAAGATGATAATGGGAGCTCTCCAGCGACGAACATTGGAGAAATTTCCAAACTTGTTAGAAGAGCAATTTCTCGAGATCTGGAGAACTGGAGCGCTCTCGAGAGGTATCTCGAAGGTAACAGCAATCAGGGTCAGTCGATGCCTCCTCTTCGCTCGGAATTGCGTCCTAGGGAGAGCCGCAAAAATAAAGAGGACGACAGTTATCCACTTCAAGTAAATCAACTTAATTTCGATCCGTCAAAACAACTGAATTTCGAGGTATTACGAAAATTGGAGGCGCGCGACGTGAAAGTACGGCCCGCTTATTTCGAGAAAATCCGACGGAACGACGGAAGCGTAATGAGCGTCGCCGATACTCGAACCGCTGTTGCGCCAATTGGAATTACCTCCGACTCATTATCTTTGGAGGATATTTTTCAGCCGCGACCCCAAATCATCAAGTATACATTCCTCAAAAAAGCGATGACGCGACACGACGAACCTAGCAAGGCCGTGATCGATAACACCACACCACGGAATTACGGCGACAATCTCATCCGCGATGAGATCGCTAACGACGGTCATGACGGGAGGCTGGCGAGGGGAAGCGTCAAAGTGACGTCTATACAAGTGAGCGAGCTGCCGCGGCACAAGACTCGTCACCATCATGGTGAATGGTCTAAACGAGATTACGCCGCTCATCGCCATCGTCCGACCGTCGCTCATCCGGCTGCCCAATAAAAAGAAACGAAACTGTCAGATAAAGAGAAACACGCGGATTAGTGGGATTGCCGCCTGCGTGTTAATTCACCACTACGTGTCATCTTCGCTATCTATTTCATAACAATAACAAGGAATCGTACTATTTTTAAACTATTTATTAAATATACTATTTTCAATATACATGCAACAATTATATATTCTCTATAATACATGTAGTTACAATAAAATGACTTCCCGCGACTTATGCTAAGAAGCTGTCAGTTGTAACAATGTCGATTAACACAGGTCCTCATTAAAGATTAAAATTTATTTCATATAATGTTTATAATCCCTAAAGAGAGAACAGCGAAATCGGTTAATTTATCGTGTGTTTGATCAACATTTCAATCTTGTTGCCTCTCTCTACACCTACTGGAGGAAAAATTCGCGATTTTATATTAAATATATTATGCATATCTCGCAGAAACATGATATGCAACTATCGACTCTAGGCAGCTCAAGAAACTATAAACAATTAAATGCTTAAAACCACACGCATGGTAGAGCAAGTGAGTATTTAATACTTAAAGACTTTAGGGAACATCTTCCTACCCTTTATGATCTTAATTCTAACAAGAAACTAATGAACTTCTATTGACACTAAATATAGATTCCACATGTTGAATGGAATGTTTATATAATCCTTTCTGCAACCTTAACACTAAGTACTGTGGGCGTCTGCGTATGAAATCTAATGCTACCTCGATATAAATCAGAAAAACTATATTACAATGTTTTGTATGATATTTCACATGAAGGTAAGTACCTCGAATATATTAGATAAGTAGCCTACTCTATTGGAACACAACCTTTTTTGGTGAATAGTCTCAGTTAACTACATCTACGTTATTATGTTAACCTTGTTCAGTTAGTTCAGTTAGATCATATTAAGCTAATTATTAAATTACATTCTAGAAATCTTTCTACGTTCTCTCACTAACGCTATATCGCATGAATCATGATACAAAGTATAACTGTCGCAATCAATGTCAATATCGGAAATATAGTAACATATCCGTTGTTATTCAAATGAGGAATCCATAGTAGATGTGAATATATGCGAATTCAAGGCTTGTTAAGGCCAATTTAAAACCAATGAAAGGCGAATTTGAAATACGTTAAAAACAAAATGCAGAGGCAAGTATCACGGCTATGCGCTCTGATAAGTCAATACTCATTCTTGAGAAACACAACTGATCATACGCTGTGCCCAAGTCCGCAACGAATAATCCAAGGATCCTCAATTTCGATTCTCGATTAACTCGTCTCATCTAAAAAAGTGTTTCTTGATATACACAACATAGTTTTATCTATCATGCATCAAATGTGCAGTTTTCCTTATGTATACAGATTATCCGCTCCGATAATCATTTTATTACACTCGCCATTATAGGCGTAATGGATGTTTTGTAATAAAAATGTATACATTATAAGAATAATAAATGTGAAATATTCTATAACAGAGACATGTTTGAATCACCTGTTTTGCAATATAGATGAAGATTACCATGTACAAAGTTGCGCAAAGCTTCATATGCTTTTTCTAAATCATCATTTTCTATGATAATATCAAAATTACCCGGTGTTTCACCTATAAGGAAGTACAAACTATTGTAGTATTATAATTAAGTAATGTGTCTCCATAATATCAATTGCACACATACTACACAGAACATACCATATTCCATTTCAGCTTTAGCAACTGATAATCTGCGTTCCAATGATTCTTCAGTTTCCGTGTTTCTAGCCTTTAATCGTCGCTCCAACTCCATAATGGATGGTGGTTTCACAAATACATAAAGGGGATCGAGATGAGGAGTGCACTTGATTTGCTTCACTCCTTGTATGTCAATGTCTAATACACATACTTTTCCTAGACTTTGCACATCTTCAACTGCCCGTTTGCTGCAAAATAGTAGTAGAATTATATATTTCATTTTTTACATACTTATATGATTTATAATATTTATCTACTTTCTTTATGATTATAATGTTACTATATTTATCTTCCTCCCTCTTCCCTTACATTATATTTATCTATCTTCTTTAAATACCTTGTACCATATAAATTCCCACTGAACGTAGCAGTTTCGATAAACTCTCCATTTTTTATTTGTTCTTGCATTTTTTCTTTATTTGTGAAATGGTAATGAGTCCCATTTTCTTCACCAGGCCGAGGAACCCTTGTCGTGTGAGACACAGAAAATTTAAAGGTATCAGGATATTCATCAAACAGTCGCTTTATTAAAGTGCTTTTCCCACTACCAGAAGGACCGCACAATACCAATGGACGTGGGCCTTTATGGATCATACTGGAACCTAAAAATTGATCAAATACTATTTATCCTTGCTAACTCTCTGTGTTTTCTGAAATTAGATTCTGAAGTGATAAAATTTGTTTCAAACATGTTGTTATTTCTATTCTGTATTGTTGGATCAGTAAAATGTCTCACATTAGTTTATGAAATGAAAACTATAGGTTCTGCATACCTATCTTCAATGTCCTCAACCACTGTGCAAACATCGTAATTAAAATTTCGACAACTTAATACTGCTCATTTTAAAATACTGATGACAAGAACATAAGCATGCAATAATAAAATGTTCAATTAAGATTTATATGCTTTATATATAATTGAATAATAAAAATACATATTTATTATTCAATGAAAAATATATTGTCGCAATATTAGAATAAAGTTAATTATATTTATTTGCACCATATTATGTTAAGGTTACCGATTATATCGATATTTCAATGATTAACCAGTTTTGCATCAGCAATTTGCATCCTAGCTATGCAATAAAATTGAATCAATTGAAATAATCGCGTTATGGACTAACAAACAACGTAGATCCACAGCTGAGGTGTCTACTAATGATCTTTCTCTCTCTTCACTATCGAGTGTACTCGAATGACAAGCAAAAATAATTCGTTACCTTTATTTTCCTAGAGATAACCAACGATCGCAGCTGTAAAGTAAAATATAAGTGATACTCTACACGATGAAATTCAATTTAATGTGGATGTCGAGTTGGCGGATGTATAAATATGCGAGGTATAAAACCGAATATACCAGAGAATTGGTTATATATGATAAATATATTAATAAATATAGAAATATTTGCGCAGTTATTAGAAGAGATGGAGACAAAACACTAATGGAGGATTTACATTGCATTCGCTGCTTAATGTCTGACTTACCATTGAGTCGTACTACTTGAAAATAATGATGCCTCTTTGGCTTATCGTTGAGTTATATTGGGTGCTTTCCATTTAATAACACAAGTCGATAAGCATCATTCTGTCTTTGTTCCATATTCAATGAATAAATAAAATAGGATGATGCTTATGTCGACTTGTGTTATTAAATGGAACCTCGAGTCTTCACTGTCTCTCTCTTTCTCTTTAATGATTGCAGGCCTACGTCTTTGGCTCTTTCACCATGAGTCTTCACTATAGTGTTTATATATTCAAAGTTAAAACGTTGTCCATTATATATTTGTAAGGAAAAAGTGGGTGAGTGAATGAGTAAGTGAGAGAGAAGCTGTATTATGATTCATTGTTTCAGTTTTAGAGTTTCTTTCACTCTTACTAGAGTTTCTTTCTCACTCCTATTCACTTTTAAAAATGACAGAATGCGGACTAATAAAAATTATCATGTTTTGTCTTAAAAGCGATAGCACAGATTTTTGTATAATGAATAACGCGTAAGAGAATAAACCAATCAGAGCCCTTCGTTTCTACTTGGGAGATAATCGGAAGTACACACTCTTCCATAAAGGCATAATGTACAACGCATAAGAAAATTGACCAATCAGAGTCCTTTATTTTCATGCTTTTTTGCAAAAATACGTGCTTTTTGCTTTGACTAAAGCCATGTTCCGTTTTACACATATACGCGCATTTATTTATGGTTTATACCATATATATACTGTAAAAAATGCATGCAATGCGTGAATGGAACGCAGCTTAGAACTCTACTTCATTAAAGTACAGTAGCGGTTTGTAGCGAAAATTTTGAAACTAATCGTTTATATCTTTAGTCAAGACTCAAACTATTTAACTTGAAAATTTACTGTTTTTATGGGTTTAATTGTTTTGCTAATTTCAATATTTTCCTCAAAATAAACTACTCATCATTTCTAGCTAACAAACCGAAGATGTAACACGATTAAATAACACGCCTCAAATTTTTATTTTTTAAATAATGCGACAAGTCTCAGATTAATTTTTGTATATAAGTAGTGTCATTTACATACAACGAGAAGTCAGAATTGAACGACGATAATTTTATCTTGGAGTGCACACGGAGATTGTCGCAAACAGCTTAAAATTACAAACTTAGGCGGAAATATAAGACATTTATTCGGTATACATTTAGTTAGAAAATTAATTCAAATTACATTGCACAGATAAAATACTACACATAATATATTTAATTCTCTTTTTTTTTTTCCTTTAAATGTTTAAGTCATTGAACTTTAGTTTGATCAACGTAATTACTTCGAACATATATTATAAATCTGCAATGAAAAATATAGTAATTCAACACAAAAAAATTAATTTAAAACCTAAAGGAATCAAAGTACACATATCCCGATTACTGTCGGAATTATTTGCACTTTACTCCCATTCCATGGCAACACGTGATAAATATAGGCGCACACATATGTTCGCGCGTGTATTTGTTATTTCATAGACATTTGTATACGTGAGTGCCCCACACCAACCGGCAAATATTGAAATGGTATATGGTAGAAGTCAAACGTGACAAAATCCTTTGTTCTTTAATACGAGCAATAGTTAACGAGTTATTAAGTTTAATGCTTAGCGCGCTCCTATAATTGGCGGACTACAGGTAATGCCACGCATCGAAAAAAAATGCGAACTCTCGGCTCTTGGAGCAACTTCGATATCTTGATTAGTGAGTTTCTAATACCACTAATAGTAAAACTAGTCTAAGAGTTCACATTTTTGGCACGCTAAGCATCAAATTTAACAAATTAATAACTCGTTAACTATTAATACTAATTAATAACTTGTACTAAAAAGTGACAAAGGACTTCTCGTTTTGGTTTGACTTCCACTGTCCACTATTTCAATATTTGACGGTTGACGCGAGATACTCGGTATATGCTTATGCACGCATCTGTATACGTGTAGATGTATGTATAGCTGTACATTAAACGCAATCAAAGACTATAAATAAATATCACATTTGACTCACTGTCATAAATGTCCTGTCACACACTGTCCATAACGCAATATTCAAGTATAATCAACAATATCGACATCTTTCTCTAAATTAACTTTCGCTTGTACTTTAAACAACTTTGTTATCCTATGCATCTGTTATGTGAATTTCGGAATAAAACGGAAATCGGTCGTCATATACAAGAGATATCAAATTTAAACAGCAGTGGGACCAGTAGGTTTGCCTTGTGTTCTACGACGTGCCAACTCCGACATGATCACAGGACCAATGTGCGGTAGTCTGGGGTTGCTCGACATTGCTCTATATGTCGTCGCCACTGCCATCTGAAACAAGATGCACGATATTGTAGACTCGTTACTGAGACGCTCAACGTTAAATCGCGATAACAAAGATCAGGTTCAGCGAAGAAAACTGCTCCGCTACTGCTCCATAAGTCTCTGATTAGTACGTCTGTCCGAACCTGTCAAAGGTTTAAAAGAATACTCCAATCATGAACATTCGCTACGGAGCGGTAGCGGAGCAGTTTTTTCCGCTGAACGTGACCAAAGTAATACCTTCAGATTATGCGGATCCTTAATGGGCTCCGGTAATACTTTTTGCGGGATATGATGTCGATTGACGATCCAAGGATATTTTAAAATAACGGCCGCAGTAGGCCTTCGATTGGGGTCCACGTGCAGCATTCTTTTAACTAGTTCTTTAGCTTCGTTGGAGATATGACGCCATATTCCGCTCTCCACGTCTATGTATCCCGGTCCGATGCGATCTAATATATCGCTCGCACTGTCTCCTGGACTGTTACGAAAAGGCGTGTACCTGCGTGTGATGCGATAAAATGAGAAGTTCGAGCCACGAATAATCGCGTATGGACGGAATTCTAACGTATAAATGAATTTCTTTTCGATACCCAGCCAGCATGATGTACAGCAGAACTCCGAGTGACCAAATGTCACACGCTGCGTCGTATCCTTGACGCTTCAACACCTCTGGCGCTACGAAATTCGCTGTGTAACAAGGCGTCATCAATAAACCATTTTCCGCTCGTAACTGCTTCGCAAAGCCGAGATCGCATATACATAGCGTCGTTGGATCGCCGCCAGATTTCGCGTACAAGATGTTCGACGGCTTCAGGTCTCTGTGAACTACCTGTTAATTTTTTTTCTTTTTTAACGCAAAGATTTTATACGACGATACTCTTATCGCGGCTAAACATTTGCACAGACCGCAGACGAAATATCTACTACACTGAGAATTACGCTTACCCCATTCTCGTGAAGGTACTGCACGACATTGGTAATAGTGTAGATCACTTCGGCAGCTTCCCGTTCCGTAAAATTTCGCCTCTGTAGCAAACGATCGAGGAGCTCACCGCCGCGCAAAAGCTCCAACACAAGATACACTCGTCTATCGTCTTCGTGGACAGCTCTCAACGTTACGATATGGGGATGCCTGCCATACCGCAGTAGGATTTCTATCTCCTCCGTTGGATCTCGTTTCGATTTCTCAATCACCTGTTACCGAGTTCGGTCGTTTATACAAAATTTTCTTCTCCCACTGCTCTCTACATATCTTTGGAGACGTATTTTCTTCATAGGCGGGTTTATTATATAAATTTACACGAAGAGAAGGAAGGATTGACTACCTTCACGGCGTACTCCATCTTGGATGCTATATGGATGGCTAAGTAAACCACGCTATAACTTCCTTTGCCAATTTCCTGCTTGAATTCGTACTCGTCCGTTATGGAAACGGGATTGACGTAGGATGGAAAAGTAACGCTAATGCTGTCGCAGTTCTTGGACTCTAGAGACTGAGCGTGTTCGACATCTGCGAGTAAGCACGGTGCAACGAAACTGAATCCGCGGAATAACTCGTGGGCGTTCGCGCTCGGCGGTATCCCTGGAGAATCTGAAAAGATAGTATAATTCTTCTGATAAAGTCAGTGAAGGTGCAAATACATACAAAAGAGGACATTTGCAGGATTATTATTGACTTATCTACTCCACTATTTTTTTTTCTCTTCGGTATTTAAGAAGAAGCGATTACCTTTAGGTGTTTTGCAAGTAAATTCATTGTCAAAATGGAAGGTGTCGTCCTCCTGGCTGACGGCCGGCTTAAACGGCGGTCTTATCTTCTTCTTGTAAAGAGCGTCCCAGTCGATAGCAGCAAAGAAAATATGGTTCATAATTTCTTCTACACCATCTAAAAGATAAGAGAACGTTAAAACAAGAGATATAATCTGTGTATATCACGCACGTGTGCGCGCAATTTGAATTTTGTCCCATATATGCACAATACGTTGATACAAATGTTACGTTACCAGAGCCAAGGCGATTCGCCGGATTTCTCTTAAATAATGCCCTCAAAAGTGCTTGTGCTTCCGCCGAGATGTAGTGCGGCATTCCGAGCTTAGCTTTCAGAATTTGCGTCATCGTCTCTTTACGATTTGCACCTTGAAACGGGAGAGCGCCTGTCAGCATTTCAAACTGAAAAAATATACCGTGAAAAGTAATATTTAATTCTTCGTTACAATTTATATCTCATCGACATTCCCATCTTTGTTGTATCCACAAATGTGGCATGTGAATGCAACTGACCATTAAAACGCCAAAGCTCCACCAATCCGCTGCAAAAGAATGTCCTTTTCTTTTGACGATTTCCGGCGCCATATATTCAACGGTGCCACAAAATGAGTACGCGTACAAGTCGTCCAAAGGTTGTTTGCTCAAACCGAAATCCGTTAAAGATATGTGACCTTCCGTGTCTAACAAAATGCTGCGCAAATAAAAACATACGAGAGATTAATGCGATATACTGATAACAGATGCCTATTATAGATAATCGCGCATGGGTCACGATATAATGCGAACAGTACAAACTTTTCGGGCTTGAGGTCTCGATATATAATTCCAAGACTGTGTATATGATCTAGTGCGAGCGCTAGTTCTGCTAAATAAAATTTAACATCATCTTCTGTAAACATCACCTGAAACATTAATTAAACCAGTATGGTTGCAAATATACTTATCCCGACGATTATTGTAACAATTTATTTATGACATATGATATTACGCTCTTAACTTTTATATTTTCTTGATAACGTAAGTTGTCCAATAAAAAATTACCTCTTTGTATAATCTCGAGAAGAGGTCACCACCTCTTAAAAAATCAAGGATTAAATACAATTTCCCTTCTGTTTGGAATGCATAATGTAGTCTGACAATGAATGGATGTTCCACATCCACCAATATATTTCTCTCCATTTTGATTCTAAATCTGTCACGAACTAAAAAGAAACGAATAAAGAAGTGCATAAATAATGAGCAGAACAACTATATAGCATTTAAGAGTATTTCAATACTTTTTAATGTTGCCTTCTTCAAGACCTTCATAGCATACAGCGTACCACTGTCTTTTCCAACAACTTTTCTTACTAAAAATACCTGTAAACATATATAAAATATGATTATATATATAATATTAATCATGATGTTGTAAAGAAAATGTTTAAACTCATACATATTAACATATTGTACACATTTATGTTTCACACGCCATGCTTACCTTGCCAAAAGAACCTTGGCCAATAACTTTCAGTAATTCAAAGTGAGAAGGTTCAGCTTTCTCATAACCATCTCGTACCATATCACATACTTCAATCTCATGAGACTCTGAACAACTATTTGATCTTTCGATCAAGTTTCCTTGAGTAATCATGGTTTCTTCTTGATTTTCAGCTGGAAGAATATCTGTATTTTGCTAAAAACAGAAAAAAACAGATGAGGAAAATATTAAAATGCTGAAACACTCAATGAATGAAACAGATATATACATGTATCTGACAATATAACAATCTTGTTGTTGTCTTTTTCAGTAGAAATATCTTTCAAATATCGAGAAAGAGAAATATTACCTTCTCATTTACACGATGTTCGGCCCAGGGAGCCGTTAAATTTGCCAACGGCATTATACTCAAAATTCTATTTATTTTCAAAATTGTAAGCGTTTTCCTAATATATTTATCAAATTACTACTAACAACACATACACGAGCATTTAGTCTTTTTTGCAGTAGGTAAGTTTATCAGTTAATGGTTTTGATACAAATTTACAGCAGGAATTCGCGGTTAACTGCTAACCACTGATACGATGTACACACAGCTTATGTACATTCGCATGCATATACACATCACACACTCGAGTGCGCATAGATTCTGACACACATGCGTGCATATTTATATGTGTACACATTATATGCATATATATCATGTATATACACCATTTATATATCGCAGTCAGATAAGCAGAAGCAGCGTATGGATTAATAGCAGAGAAAAAAAAATAAGAAGAGAGCCACGCCACAATCTGATAGTTCGACCGTGAGCCGATCGCTGATCTGTTGCGCCATCTGCGCCAGTCGACTTAAGGCTGCTTTGACGTTAAGTCGTACCACTTAAAAATCAAGTCCCCTCTGACTTCACGTTGAGTCATGCCACGATTCCAATTTATCGAGAGATGGCGACCGTAATGGCTTCTGCATATAGGAAGCGGTAATGCTTGCCGCGTGGCGGAAGTTCGCGCGACAGCCAATCAATATGCTGCTTTCCGTAATAACCTTCTAGCTCTTATGGAAAAACAACATATTGATTGGCTGTCGCGCGGACTTTTGCCGCGCGGCAAGCATAAGGGTGCAATAAGGGCTATCGCACACAAATTGACATAACTGCATATGCATAGCATAAGACCGTATGTACCAATGAGCATCGAGTATTAAGTCGCCATATTGGTGTTCGATGCTTAATATTCGATGCTCATTGGTCCATACGATTTTATGCTATGCATAAGCAGTTATGTCAATTTGTGTGCGATAGCCCTAAGATGTAGCGCGGTATGCGGTACGCGGAACGCTGTAAAGTAACTAGAAACCGCGCACGGTGAGCCGCGTCTGTTTTCTTCCTACTATCACATGGAGTAAAAACTGCGCGAAAAGCGGCACGGGCTAGTGACAAATTCTCATTTCTATGCACTTTTAAACGGAATTAATTGATTTAAATATAATTAATAAGTAAATTTGTTGAAAAAATAAGAACATTAGTAAAATGTGCATAGAAATAAGTTAATACATTTTAGGGTGCGTTCAGATTCCTCATCCGGTTGCACTCTATTACTAGAAACACTATAGTATATGTGACATATACTATAGCAGTTCTAGTAATAGAATACACCCGGGTGGGGAATCTGAACGCAGCCTTAGAAAATAAAAACAAATGAGAATTTGTCACTAGCCCGTGCCGCTTTCCGCGCGTTTCTGCTTCATGTAATAGGAGGAAGAAAACAGGCGCGGTTTCTAGTTATTTTACCACGTTCGCGTACCGCGCTACATCTAATTGCACCCTTACCGCATTCTGTGTGCAGGAGCCATAAAGCCCGTATCAGACTACGAATTAATAGCATGTTCGACTGGCTCTGGGTAATCCACTCTGAGTTAATCCGCTCTGGGTTATTCAGCCTACGTTTATTGGTCAAACAAGTACTTATAAGCTTTATGATTAGCTAATAGATACTTATGACGTCATTAATCGCTCTCGGAGCAATGAAAGAGATCTCATATCTTTCACACTTCTGTGCATTTTCGAGGTAAAAGAGCAATCCGACGTCTTCGATTTACAATGCCGAACGCAGCTATTGTGCTCCGTGATATAGGCCGCCGCCATATTTGGTGATCACTTCCGACTTTCATTCCTCTCACCCCTGTGAGTTTACTTTCCGCGAAATACACTCCGTCCAGATATTGGCTTGGTTTACATCGTGCACTTGATATGCGTACTAAATAGTAACTTTCTGTTAGATAATCTTAATATCGACAATGCATATCAATGGCGACGCATTTAATCATTACAATACGTTTTGTTGATAAGTATTATACCAGCTTAATATACCGTTGTTTATATATATCGTCGATATTAAGATTATCTAACAGAAAGTTACTATTTAGTACTCGTATCAAGTGTACGATGTAAACCAAGCCATTCCTCATCCATGATCTAAAACATAGGCTGCGTTCCGAAATTCACTGCCAGTTAGGCGACAGTTTCCCGAAAAGTGGAGGGGATAATGTTGGTACCAAAAGAAATCTCTACACGATATAATTTAAAGATCTGTTTTTTTTGTAACTGCACTGCTGAACCAATGCAAAAGATTATGGCTCCTGCACACAGGACGCGGTAATGCTTGCCGCGCGGCGGAAGTTTGCGCGACAGCCAATCAATATGCTGCTTTCCCTAATAACCTTCTAGCTTTTACGGAAAAACAACATATTGATTGGCTGTCGCGCGGATTTCCGCCGCGCGGCAAACATTACCGAGTCCTGTGTGCAGGAGCCATTATCGCGTTCTGTGTGCAGGAGCCATTAGAGTGAGAAAAACGTATAGTTACCTTATTTCAATTTATTGCATCAATTTAGCAGTGCAGTTACAAAGAACAGAATCTTTAAATTATATTATGTAGAGATTTTCTTTGGTACCAATATTATCCCCTCCATTTTTCGGAAAACTGTTGCCTACCTTCACTGTCAGTGCTGAAATTCTATAGCTGCGTTCCGAAATTCACTGCCGGTACTGAAAATCTATAGTTTATGTTACGTATACTATAGATTTTCAGTACTGGCAATAAATTTCGGAACGCAGCCTATGGCTGCGTTCAGTAGAACAAGTGATCAGTAAGCGCTCAGGGAGCTCTTGTATATGATTTGGCATATTCTTTTAGATCTCCAACTATACGCCAATCAGATGCAAGAGTCACTGAGCGCTTACTGATCATTTGTTCTACTGAACGCGGCCAATGATATACGTTACATGAATTATAGATTTGCAGTACTGGCAGTGAATTACGGAACGCAGCCCTAATCTATAGTCTCATAAAGGCTTAATATCTAGTTTCGGTTTAACCGCCGGCATGTTAAGACGTGTTTGAACGTGTTGAACGTGTTCAGACCGGTGATTTTTGGAAGTTGCCTTTGGAACCTACCAAGGCCCTACTCATTCATACCTATTCTCTTACATTTCCAAATTCGTCAAAGCGTGAGATATTCTATCTAAATTCATCTTTTGCTATCTCTCACATATACGATGGAAGCATTTATCTGTGCAATGGCATAGGGCCACTTAAGAGTGCGCTCAGCAATAATTGAAGTCTGAAGGCTTAATATCTCGTAGCGGAGACTTTGGAAACTACACTTTAGCAAATCAGCTGATCTACCGCGAGGACCGAACGTGAGTGTATTTTACCTTGCGTATGTACAATGTGTGATACATATTATAATAATTTGTGTTAAACTGACAAGAAAAGAATTCATTAAGGAATTATTAAGTATTTTTTGAATAAGTAAATCAAAGGTGTGGCAATATGTATTAAAATATATATACTTTGTTGTAAATTAAGAACTTCGATATTAACAATATATAACAATAGGTTACGTTTGTGTTATCGTTACAATTGTTACAGTTGTCGTTACAATAGTCGTACCAGTTGTGATTTCGTTAGTGTTATTAGTGTGATTATTGTAAATTAGTATTCAAGGATGAATGTAAGTACAATGTACTTACGCTAACGTGTTAATTTCAATTTGAAGGTGTTTAAACATGCCATGCTGGTACTATGAAAAGAAAGAACTACGAAACACACCATCCATTCAGGATGGTATCGATTACGAGACAGAATGTAGATACAGGAAAGAAGGCGCACGTTTCATAATCGACACCGGTACAAAAATGGATTTAGGTTATAATACAATGGCAACGGGTGTCGTTTACTTTCATCGATTTTATATGTTCCACTCGTTTAAGAATTTCCCGCGATACGTAAGTACACTTATATAGTATACTTATATAAGGAAATCACTTATGCATTGTACAAAAAATATTGTTTTATCTACTATTGTGATATATAGGTAACAGCTTGCTGCTGTTTGCTCTTGGCTGGTAAAGTTGAAGAAACTCCAAAGAAATGTAAAGATATTATACGAACTGCTAAGACTTTAGTATCTGAACAAAAATTTATGACATTTGGAGAAGATCCTAAAGTATGTTGCTTAGTTAATAAAAAGATATTCTAACTATTCTAACTTATAAGTATCTACATATTGTATTGTGTTCACAACAGGAAGAAGTTTTAACACTGGAAAAAATTTTATTGCAAACTATTAAATTTGATCTACAAGTGGAGCATCCATATAGCTATTTATTGAAATATGCAAAGTGTCTTAAAGGTAATTATTGCGTATGCAAGATGTTCCAGACTCGTCTTTGCAATGTTCATGGGAATGCAGAACAGATTGAAATAAACATGAAGCCCCATACCATTTTACAATATTTGCAATAAATCTCGAGATATTAATTAAAAGAGGTGATCACGTGCGATATGATAGATGAGCTGTAGTGGTGCTGTCTGCTGTTGTATATACTTACACATTAGATCAAACTAAACAAAGTTCTATACCACTTTGCAAATAACCACATAGATTTTTAGATATTAAAGAAGATTTATGCATTATCGCGCAATTATGTAATAATTTTCTTTTATTAATAACTAAAAATTTACATTTGCAAAATGATAAAAGAACTTTTATGTTCAGTTTCTAGAGCTTGTTACTTCAATACTAGAACTAATTTACCATATTGCGCATAATTATTCATTGATCTTCTTTAAAGAATATCTCGAGATTTACTGCGAAAATCGCAAAACGATATGAAATTTTTATGTTTACCTCAATCCATTTTATACTCCCACAAACATTGTGGAAATAAATCTGAAGTATCATGTATATGATAACATTTTATTAAGTATTGATGCTAAGTCAGCTATATATATAATAAAACCAGAAAAGATTTTACATTAAAGTTTGAATCTATTTGCAGGTGATAAAAATAAGTTACAAAAAATGGTACAAATGGCTTGGACATTTGTTAATGATAGGTAATTAATGTAATTTATCATATAATTATGCAATTATTATTATGGTATTTAATATAAGTTGCTATGTATCAATGGATTTTCCTCAACAGCTTATGTACTACCCTGTCACTACAATGGGAACCAGAAATCATAGCTGTTGCTCTAATGTACTTAGCTGGAAAGTTAAGCAAGTTTGAAGTATTAGACTGGGCTGGAAGACAGCCAAAACACTTGCGTTGGTGGGATATGTTTGTTGAAGATGTGACTATGGATCTTTTAGAAGGTAAGATCAGCTAACATTTTCCTCACGCAAGTTTTTTTTGTATTTTGTCCTCCTTTACTGCTACTCTACTTGTTCAAATATATGTGTGCATTTCTAGATATTTGTCATCAAGTATTGGACTTATATTCACAAGCAAATAATACAAAGCCACCCGATTCACCACCTATAATACCGTCTAGTGAAGTGTGTAGAGAACGACCCAGTGCTGTTACTAATGTAGAATCTGCATCTAATACACCAAATGGTAAGTAACAATAGACATATACAATATAAATACTTTATAATTTCTGGACTTCATAAATATTTATTAAATTGATACAAGCATATTTATTAAATTGATAAAATTGGTATAAGCACAAAAATGATTTCTGTGATGTGAAATAAAAAAAGTGGATTATTAAGAAGCTGAATTAATATATACGATGCGTAAGTACATTAAAATTTTTATGTATAATCTTACAGTGACTCCTGGAAAATCTTCCAAGATCGAAACACCAGTGGTTTCTGCAAATGGCTGCCCACCAGCAGATATTACAGATACAATAAAACCAATGGACGTCCCAGCGACGCATTTTCCCACCTACCCGGCAAATTTCGCGGCATCTAACAATACAAATTATCCGGCAGCGTTCCCGCCTGCGAACGTTTCGGTTCCACCACCTCCTGTCAACACAATGAACCATATCGTACCGACGATGCACCATATTGGATCTTCCGCTGCTATTCGTCCCACACCATCGTCGGTACCGACTACGAACCAGCCGCCATTTCAGCCGTATTCTTATCCAACAAACACACCGTATTTTTCAGCAAATAATCCAATTCCACCATCTGCCGCGCCACCACGCAATTATTACCCGCCGCAACCATAACGGAAGGCAATGTGTTGTGCGTACGATATAAACTGTATTTACATGGACATTGTTATCTTAAGTAAAGATAAACTTATTAAAATATTAAAAATCCTATTAGTGTAAATTTTGTACAGACATACGTCGTACTTTTATATTTGCTGTTGTTAGCAATGGTTGTTAGCAAATCTTGCTTTTTTCTACTATTATAACAACCATTCTCTCTTTCTTTTCTAGCAAATATCACCAATATATTTATCAGAACAAAAAGAATTATAACTCGATTCGGTTTACGTCTGGTTAATTCAGAAATTATTTTCATAGGAAAATAAAATGACATATCACATGTAAAGATTTCCTTTACTAAAAAAGTTCTCTGCAAATTTGAAGCGTTGTAATTTGCCAGGTATTTCACTGTTTAGAATCTTCACAATTGGTTCTGCACACTTTGAATCTAATACAAAACCATCAATGTACAATATATATAATTTAGCTGACATGTTTATGAACTCAGCGTAAGATAAAACTGAAATAGATGATAAATTTTGATTTACATATTTGGTATGTACTTTGTATGCCTTTTATACATAAAACATGATTACTAACCTCCTGCGCCAACTCCAAATATAATGTTTGGTTGTTCCAATGTCTTAATTTTACATTCAGAATTTATATTTTTAGTGGTCAATATCCTTAAGAACGATGGATCATCTGGAACATTTGAACTCTGAAACTGTGATATATGACGGCACACTATCGCAATTATGCTTTCTGTGTTTAGTAGTAAGTTGGATATCTGTAAAAACAAAATATTCATCCTTTACACTTGTAAAATTTATATTATATATCATAAACATATACATATATATTTTGACTGTATCACATAAAAAAGTATTTACCTCATTTATAAGTATTCCTGCATCTTTTATATTAAATTGTTGTAAAATTGTGCATACATACAGCTGTTTGTCTATTTCATAAATTATAGAAACTTTCTTGTCATTTTCATCCTTTATGATACATGCTTCTTCAACATTGTGACATAAACAGTGTTCCACAAAAGCTAAAAACAAATAGTCTGATAACTATAAAATATCAATCAATAGCTAATGTAAAACATCTTTAATTACTTAAGAATATATTACGTATTAATGGATCTCCTTCGATTACAATAAACTTTTTTATAAGTTCTGGTTTATTTTTTTGCCAGTGAAGAAACAATCTCCTGAAATAAATGGCAATTAGCTCTGTTATTGTCTTCCAACGCGATGAATTAAAATATGCAAATCATGGAAATATATTTGCATGATAAATACAACTTACGAACTGGTTACATCTTCAACTGGTTCGTATTCGTCTTTGTCATCCCAAAACGCTCGCGATGATGGAAATACAACTTCCCCGAAATGGCTAACCATGTTTGAATAGAATGTTCTAGAGAAAAGTAAAAAACAAAAGCATAAATTATGGTTGTTTATTTTTAAAATCACGTCAATTTTTTCCTACAAGAAATGCTTATCAACAATACCTGTATAAATAATAAGTTTGAATAAGTCAAAATGACAATGTCAGCATGATTCAATAAACAAAGTATTAACTATGAAGTAAAAGAGAAAGAGATCGAACTTTATATAACGAAAGTGGTCCTGATTCGTGTCCCCTAGAGATTGGCTGGCATAACATGTACGGATTTAGACATTGCGACGCCGATGCAAAACCATATATATATATATAAAAAAGCATTTGTTCTGCATTGGCGTCGCAATGTCTAAATCCGTATATATTTATGCCAGCCAATCAGCTGGGGGTCGATTGTGTATCTCAAAACAGAGTGAAAATGATAAAAGTGAGTAAATTTACTAGAATATTTGTAACTTCATTGGTTAATGCCTAGTGAATTTGTTCACTTTTGTAATTTTCACTCCGTTTCGAGATACACAATCGACCCCTTGATCACGTGACCAAGATGGCGATTTTCTGTACTAAAGGTTCTCTAGTGTCCTCCAATTTAGAGGAAAACCGCTGAAAAGAATGGGCACGTTCTGTAGATAAAAACGCTCAGTGAGCACTCGATGTTTATTGGTTTATTCTGTAGGTCTCCTATATTTAGACTAATTACGTTTACGAATCCTCAACAGTTGTACAACTATTGTGTCTGCTGAACGCGCCCAATAACTTCGAGTGTATGAAGTTGGCACCCCACTTTTTGAAATTTATAATTTTGAAAGTTGTTCCAGATTGTTCTTTGTATTCAGATTTGTACCACATTGTTCCAAAGTGATATTGCTTCATTCAAAACGGTTTTCGAATAAAACAAAAAAAAATGATTTTTTGAGCTGGCAACCCACTTTTCGAAAATCGAAAAATTTTCGATAATAAGTGGGTCCCTTAAGGGACGTCTACATTGGAAGTAAGCAGTAAGAAGTAGGAAGTAAGAATAAGGAATTGACCAATCATAGTTGATTATTCTTCTCACATTCGACTGTGGTTGGTCAATTTCTTACTCTTACTTCTTACTTCTTGCTATTTACTTCCAATGTAGACGTCCCTTTAAGAGTGTGAGAACAATCCAGTGATAGAAGATGTCGCTGTATAGGTTTGTTCAATTAAATTGCACTTTCTCGCACTTTCTGCATTTGAAATGAAATGAGAGAGAGCAAGAGATGGTGAAAAAGAGAACGAGAGAGAAAAGCAAAGTGCAGAGAAGTGCCGTTGAAACGACCAAACCCAATCCAAAGTGAGAATCTTATGTCGGATTGCGGTAGTCCAAAAACAGCAGTGACGAACACGATGACGATGCCGAGTTAGTCATCGTGGCCGTTTACTCTCGGCTCCTTTTCTTCCACCCGCGCCGGGTGACAGCGCCAAAACCGAAAAGGAGATAGCGTTGCGACACTTACGCGCCGCGCGCGGCGATGCGTTGCAACATTTCACGCGGCCTGTCAAGGTGAACGCCTGCGAAAGGCCTGCGACCGTGGCGAGATCTCTACCTCTCGTCCAATGTATCATCTCGATCGCTGAGGCACCCTTCGCGCGTGTTCCTCGCTTCCTGGTGTGCTGGACGTTACTGGCCATCGAGCATGGAAGACTACAAGTTTCTCTTCAAGGTCGTGCTCGTGGGGAACGCCGGCGTAGGCAAGACCTGCCTGGTGCGACGATTCACTCAGGTAACGTTTCTCTTAGTTGACTTTGGCGATAACAAGACAAATCAGGGAAAACGACGATGTAGTTTTCGTAGTCGTCATCGTCACCTCGTTAACTTGCTCGCGTGACGAACTCTCGCGCACCGTTCACGCGCTGTTGCGTTTCCCGGAAGGGTGGAAAGTTCGTTATTTATGCATCGTGCGGATGATGTCATCTACATATGTCGAACGCGATGTTCTGAAATACTCGATTGTATTCTCTCCGATTTCTTATGGTTATAATTTATTTCGAGCGCATGTTCAGAGTCGATGCATTTATCTGTGAAAGCTTTTTTCAAATTTAGTGTCTGCAATCCATTTTTTATCTTGGCAATAATTTTTACCCTAAATCCTTTGAAATTTATAGGGTTTATTTCCACCTGGACAAGGTGCAACAATTGGAGTTGATTTTATGATTAAGACTGTTGAAGTAGAAAATGAAAAAGTCAAGGTATACAATTTGATACAAGCTTGTTAAATATATGATATATTGAATATACATCTAATTTGGTTGTTTTCTCTTTTGTCAGTTGCAAATTTGGGATACTGCGGGTCAGGAAAGATTTCGTTCTATCACTCAAAGTTATTATAGATCAGCTCATGCATTGATATTAGTTTATGATATTTCTTGTCAACCCACATTTGACTGTTTACCAGATTGGTTAAGGGAAATCGAAGAGTATGCAAGTAATAAAGTTCTTAGGATATTAGTAGGTGAGTATAAGAAAAGATATAAATTAAATTTTAATAAATAAATTAGAGGGGCGCAATGTTCTATAATAGCAAGTTGTGCGTAATTTTATGAGAATAAATTTTCTTTAAAACATCAGGAAATAAAATTGATCGGGAAGATAGAGAAATACCAACACATGTAGGAGAAGATTTTGCACAAAGACACGGAATGTACTTTTTAGAAACATCTGCGAAAGAAGCAGAAAATGTAGAGAGATTATTTATGGAAATAGCAGCTGAACTTATGGAGGTAAGCAAGAGTTGCACGTTTCATCTTATATCACGTCTCATCTCGTTCGTGATATATCAACAGTTACATATTATTTTAGCAAGCACGCAGTAAGGAATTACCTCGATATGAAACGAACACAACTTCAATAAATGGTAAAACGACATCGATCGGTGATACTAGCAATTGTGGTTGCAGCCGGCTCTCTTAAGTAATTTTTGTATGTAACATTAAGTATTTCAGTAAGGTATTTTTAGTTTTATATATATATATAAAAATGATATTATATCTTTTTTTATCAATACACGGTGATTGAATAATGAGCGTATAAATATTCGGTAACTTAAGAGATATCTAGTACATGCGTACATCTTTAATACAGTGTTATTGTTTAGCATTTAATAATATTATATACTGTGTTGTTTTATGCTACGTTGTAAGACATATTTAATATTTAAAACAGAGATATAAGAGAGAGAGAGAGAGAGAGAGAGTTTAAACATATTAAGCACTAGCTTTTGTATAGAACACTTAATTTTTATAGATATACAATTACAGCGCAATTTATATATACTCTATTATTACCAAATCTAAATATTAATACCAAATTTGATTTAATCGAGGTAATCCATGCTGTTTAACATTAAGTTGTTTAAGTATCTGTTTCCGTATGTGATGAGAATGCATTTCACATAATTGTACAATATCTTTTGTTACTTCAAAAGTACAAATAGTCATTATCACTATAGATTTTGGTAACCTGTCCAAAATCTTATTAGTAACAATAAGATTTTTACAACATATTACACAAGCCTACAATGTATAAAGTTATTTTTAAAGTGCAATATTTACATGTGTTTATCGTGCTATTTTGAAAAAAAAAAAACAGCTCACTATATTGCTGATAACAGCATGTTAAAACTAAAGCATAGATGACTTAACACTCTAATATACAGTAATTGGTGAGAATCTTTCCTTATTTTAATAGGAATCATCATTTGCAAAAGCTTGCAAATTCGCGGATGATCTGAACATATAGACATGTATTATTTGTTGTATAATAATGTAGGAGAAGCGATATATTGCAAGATATGTATAACATTATTATACATCTATTATAGCATTTATGTGATCTAATTTTTTGTTATATATTTACTTTATATATTTGTAATTATGGTTTATAGGTAATGGTTGATTTTATTAAGTATTCTATTTATATCTATTGTGTGTAATGTTGGGATTGTGAAAATTGTTTTTTATTTATGTTTCTATAAATTAAGATCTCTTCGTTAAACTGCTAGTATTGTACTAGTATTTTGGCACATTACTCTAGTCTTCACACTTCTTTTATGTTTTATACACAATTAAATACAATATGCATATAATTGTTAACGATATGTATATTGTGTTATAAACTCTACTCGTGGCTAAAACTCTTTATCTTACTTTTAAGATATAGTTTGTAGCTTATCACTACCGCGCGCACGCGATAGTAAGTTTTTTCTTCTTTATACGGATTATATATGAAATTTAAATGACAAATATTCATAATTAGTTGAAATCAGAGAAATATGATCCTTGGAAAATTATTACATTCCTAATTTTTACATATTCTTTGATATTGACTTGAATTTACATACTACGCTTATACGCATTCGATAAGCTCCATTCTATGTTACTTTAAATATAATTAAATGTGTCTTACTTTATAGTTGATATCCTAGATTTTCTAAGATTTTATAAATTGAGTTAAATTAATACACAAACGGTTCGATTGAAAGTTACTCCAAAGAGATTTTATATAACAATGTTTTATTATATGATTACACAATGTAAGTTAGTAACAACGCAAAATACGAATCGTAACTTGTAATAAAAACCACATTGGTAAAAACATATCAATTCTTTTTATATGGAAATACAGAATGCTGCTATTATTATTATTGCTATTATTATTACGTCAAATAGCATCATGAAAAAATATGTATAGATTTAATATAAGCCATCTCATGTAAACACATTGCAACAATAACAACTACATATTTATACTCAATGTAATGTAAGATCACTTTTTTTTTATTCATCACAAATCATAAATAAAAAAAAAGGAAATCGTTCTTAACTAAAAATGTATATCTAGTAGGGTATAAATACAATTATGATTTAATATTTATACTTTGATTACAAATATTGGAAAAAATCATTTAATTGTGCTTGTTTTAAGGATAAATTGAACAATTGTTGTTGTATTTTAGTATCCAGTACCACCGGAAGTACAGCATTTTCTCTGCAGTTACTAATATATAAGACACCTTTCTTTTCAATGTCTTTATTTACTGCTGTATACACTATTGGAATAGCTCCTTGTTCAGGTGTCTGCAACAAACGCATATTTATGTAAATTGATTAATGATAATAATCCGGATAAATTTGGAAATTTTTAGTACGAAATATCATTACCTTAAATCCAATCATAAGCAACTTAACTTTGCTTACATAGCTGTTGTTGAATAAATCTGTTTTCACGATACCTGGATGTACAGAATATATCCGTATGTTCAACGATCTATTCATTAAAAGTTTTTGTAACGTGGCCGTGAAAATTAGTTGCGCTAACTTACTGTTTGCATAAACTGCTTGCGTCAAGTTGCCCCTGAAATGATAAGACACTTGTAATAAAAGAAAATTACGTATCAACATTGGGCAATAGACTCGTATTCTTGAAATAATTGCATAATGTATTATACGTAAGTTTTATTGTACAGATATTTTACAATACGATTAAATCTGCGCAATAAAACTTACGTATGCGTAATTATTTGAAGAATAGGGCCCAGATAAGAAAACAAAGCTAGAAAATTTTTTATACATACTTGCAATTGATGTCGTTGAAATTTGCATCTCCAAGCATATAAGCGCAAGAAGTAACATTGATTATTCTACTGCAATCATCAGGTCGCCCGCCAGTTTCCAATAACGGTAACAGAAGCGATGTTAACAAGAAATGTGATAAATAATTTACGGCCCATTGTTCCTCAAATCCATCTTTTGTTTCGTGATATGGGACGAACATGACACCAGCTGAAAGAAAAGGAAGATACTTTGTATTTACACGTACTCTGCATTATTGAGAGAAATTTTCCCGTGCGGCCGACATACCATTGTTGATCAGTATGTGAACTTTGTCATACTCCTTTTTTATTCTCTCTGCGAATTCCCTTACCGATTCAAGAGAGGAATTATCAAGCTCATAAACTTTCGCCTGTCCATTAGTAACTCCAGACTTTCTAATCTGAAGGATGGTTTTTTCTCCGGCGATAATTGTCCTACAAGCTAATGATATGTTATGAAAAACATTGCAATAAAATATAAGAATAACAACAGTACTGCATTAATGAAAAAATACCGATTATAACTTCCATGTCACATTGTAAAAGCTTCTTGACCACTATTGCTCCTATCCCCCTAGAACCGCCAGTTACGATCGCAACTTTACCCGGCGTAGAAGGCAAATCTAAAAGGAAAAGATATTGCTACAGAATATAGAGCAAATATTAAAATCAGATGTAATCTCGATAATTTAAAAGATATGTATAATCATTTCCTTCGTTGACGCACATTACAAAGTAATAACGAACGAGCGAATTCGAAAATTTACTCGAGGTAAATATTCAAGACAACCAACTCCTCACCGAAACTATTAATTTGAGATATTTTTGTAGCGGAGATGGTTGAAAGTAATTTTCATTAAAAAAAAACTAGATGATGACCGGCTGATTTGTCGAAATATTATAAAATTAAATTTAGAATGAAATTCTGATTTTTTTAAAATATTGTAAGTTAATATTGAGAAAAATGCACATTTGATGTATAATGTGTCCTTATTTGAATATTTATCTCCACAAGACAAATTCTCCCTTCATATCTTACCGATTTTATTGTATTTAGCATTCCATAGGTCGTGTATAATCGCTAGCATACCCAGGATGTTGTATTTGATCTCGTAGAGTAAGTATGTACCGGCGGCACGCCATGTCTTGCGAAACGCACAATAAACAACGCCACCGAGAATGCAAATCGAGAGCAACCCGAGTAACATGTTCCACACGAATTTGGTGATGAAAAACTAATGCTGTTTCAATGCGCAGGTCGACGACTGGGAATGTAGCGGTCGTGAAACCGGTTGGCACCGCGCGCACTCGAATGCGAAGTTAAGGACTGGACTCCTCGAGACGAACGAGAACTGCTCACCGTTACACACACTTCTCGCTCTACATCCAACAAGGCTTCTACCGTTACACTGTCCGCGCGATAGATAAGGTGTATTCAGTAGACGTAACGGTTGAGTAATTCGTTATCGTAATTGGCCTAAATTTAATCTTGTAGTACATATTAATAATCACTGATTGTTGATCGTTGAATGTTGTACCGTTGAACGTAGTCACTGAAGATATCTATCTGTGGTATATGAAGGGATGTTATTGCGACCTTTTCTCTCGCGATAATTAGGTCAGCTGAAATGCACGAAAAAAAGTTTACTCGTTAAAAATAAAGTCACAGAAAGGACGATGTTAACTGCATGAGAGCCGGATGAAAAAAAGATCATTTTAATCTTTCCACGCAATTATTTCTAAAACTACTCGCTATTTAAAGATATATTTCAGATGACACTTAATCGGTTTTCAAGAGAGCTGCTTCCCACATAGCAGAGATGTCTAAAACATATCATAGGGATATCCTAAAGATATATTTGGGATATCTTCAAGATATCCGTATGATGTCTCAATGAAAAATTTTTCATATATAATTATATAAAATTATATAAAATTATATATAATTATACATAATTATATATTATTATGTATCAAATTTGTTCATTCATGTTCATACATTCTACTTATATATATAATTATATATAATTATGTATAATTATATATATAAATTCATATATAATTTTACATAATTACGCATAGATTTATATGTAATTATACACATTGTTATACATAATTGTGTATAATTATATATAATTTTATATGATTATATATAATTATACATAATTATGTATGGACAAATTTCATACATAATTTTGCATAATTTTGCAAAATTTTTCATCGGGGTATTTGGGACATTCTTGCTGTGTGGATTACGATGAGCATAATATTTTTTCTATCCGCATAAAACGCGAACTATTATTATCTTTTTCCTGTTTTATGATTGTAAATCTACCCTGATAGCCAAACGTGCCAAAAGCAAATTTCGGCAAAGCGTGCTGCAAGTTTTATCAACAGAATAACAACAAAACTGCAGCACGATTTGCTATATCAAGTAATGTCGGCAAAATGTGTGCAATATTGCGACACGACCTGTTAGCAAGCGTGATAGCAAACTGCTGACAAAAACCGGACAAGCTATCATTAGTAGTATGACGGCATATTGATAGCAGAAACTGAGCAAATCATGCCGAGCAATGTGTGATAACAAATTTGCAGCAAATAGCGAATAAGATGTGCCGAGCAACGCGTGACGGCAAATTTGCGGCAAAAATCGAGCAAGATGTGCCGGCTATGAACAGGCCAAAACTACCCGAGTAGAATTTGCACCTTATGAGAATCTAGTCATTATATAATAATGCTCGATTTTTGCCGTAAATTTGCCATCACGCCTTGCTCGGCACGTCTTGCTCGCTGTTTGCTGCAAATTTGTCGTCACACGTTGCTCGACACGTCTTGTTTGGTTTTTGCAGCACTCTGCCCTCAAGTAATTTTGGCATGCTTTGCCGACATAATGCCAGCATAATGGTAGTATACATGCTGCAAATTTGCTGCAATCCTATGATTGATTTTGCCAGCAATTTGTCGGCATATTGCTGACATTTTGCTATCAGGGTAAGGGAGGAATCTGATTATATTATATTCTTTGTAAATATAAATATTTCACTTATTATTTTTTATGAGAGTTGTTACTAAGAAATACGTTTTATTTGAAGGTAGAAAACGTACTAATGAATAGAACATCTTCATGTTTTATGTTGTATCGATTGACTCAGCTCTCTTCACTTTTCAATGCCGTAAAAAACTGATTTCAGTATGACTCATTTCAGCAATTTCAACACGTACAAACGATGCATGTAATAATGGTAAAATAACGGACAGTTTCATGTTTCACGATAAGCCGATTTTTTAATTTTGTATAACGACGATATCACTAGCACAATGTCTCGTTGTGCAGTTTATATATATATACACATATATATATATATATACATATATATATATATATATATATATATATATATATATATATATAATATTATATTATATTATATATGTCCTTGAAAGATTTGTGCTGTTAAGGGAAATACTGCGAATTACTAATACTAATTATGACCCTTGTAGCATTTGAAAAAGTATTTTATAAGTAAAACTCATTAGTTTGGCCAAGGATCATTAAGAATATACTTTCGCCACAAGATATTTTCACCTCTCGCAAAACATTTCACGCGCTTCGAGTGTCCTATTTTTATTCGCGCGTGCACTTGTATATTCTCGATTTCCCATGCAGCACAAATGCCTAAAAAATCCCAGAGACGTTCCAGAGATGTCTGATATCTTTGGGACGTTCTTAGGATGTATTTTGGACGCTTGTACAGTTTAAGTTCATATTTCCGCCATTTTTTTCAAATCTTAATTCAATATTTTACACAAAAATATCCCCAAGACTTGAAGTCTCAAGAAAAGATAAAAATATAAAAAATTTAATAATTGCAAATTTCATTATTCGATTATTATCTTATGATAGTTGTTGCTACCTACATCGCAGAAATGCTTTCTTGACTTTTGATGTTTGACACACTTGTCTGATAATGAGAGTTCGCAGCATATCGACAATACTGGATAACAGCTGATGTGGTGACACATGAGCGCTACTTTTCCTTTCTCTCTTTCAATGATAGATCCAGAATGATAGGCTAGGCGAATTCTCCAACGTCACTGATCTGTGTTTACAGAGTGAAATAGTATTTGCTAATAATCTAAAAAATACCCTAAAACAAATCACAGCTTACATTCGACAGGCTCGAACACGTCCTTATGTCACAGCGGTAGCCCGGAATTTCAATGTGCACGTCGTTATCAACAGTTGATAATCAACGTTAAAACCTCAAGTAAAATCTTTAAAGTGGGGTCTACAATATAAATCGTAGAGTCATAGAAATTGGCCAATTGCGGTCGATTATTCTTCTCATACTCGATCGCGATTGGTCAATTTCTATAATTTTACGACTTCTATTGTGGACCCCGCTTTAAACATCGCTATTAATGCACGACTAACAGACCGTGGTTGATTCTTTAACGGTTAATTTTAGACAGTCAAAAAACAGAAAGAAGAAAAAACAGTCGATGCTAATTAAAATTCACGCTGATTATCAGGTGTTAGCCTACAGTTTCTACTTGCATAAGTTATTTAATGGCGAATTCAATTGGAAGCATTGGCGCACTTGTGCACACTAACGATATTTCATATTCAGTTCTTATATTTAAAATTGTCTTAAATTCGCCTTCGAATGCTCCGTAATCAATGTAACAATTTTGTTAGCATCTAAAAATAAATATAAGATAATTTTAAATGTAAGATAAAACTCTACAAACACAGCTGAAATATAAGAATGGACTGTGAATCAACTTTAGTGTGTATTGGTGCGCACTAGTGTTTTCAATCGAATTCGTTATAACCGCGATACAGAAAACAGTTCAAATATTTATATTCGATAAAGGCAGTCGGTAATATCAAAACTCCAAGATTATCTGAGGAGTTCTTTGCTCGGCGCGCCATCTATCGCGGTTTATGATCGAAAGTGAAGAGTATAGCATGAGCGTCTAGGAAAAGCGTACTTTCCATGCCATAAAAAGATATTCACACACAGGATGGCGTCACACGATCGTCAAAAGACGCGACATCCGCGAGAACGATCTGCAAAAGCGCCGCGCGCGACATCTGCAGACGAAAGTGACAATCGTGAAAACGCGACTCAGCCAATGTGTTACAAGGATCCCGGTTACTCGGCTTGTAGTTTGTTACACGTAGATCTACCGAATAGGTTGATCCGTGCGATTGTTTATTGCTATTACAAACGTATAGAATTGCTGCGCCCATCAGGTTTCGTGTGAGGTACGAGTGAACACGTAAGTAAATTAACGTTTTAGATATTATATTTCGTCATCAACATAAATTGGTTTCGTTTAAAGTACAAATACACTTCGCTCTTGTGTGTCATTGAATGACGACGTGCAATTCACGGTTTGTCGTATAATCCACTCATCGTGAATAATGATCGAGAGAAAAAACAGGTGGAAGTTGTTTGTGCGGTCTATTCTTGACATTGCAACACGATCGGATTTTCGCGCGACACGATCTGGACCGTTGCGTGTAGTGGAGGTGACAGTATTCTGATTCGCGCGATTCCCTTCGCGCTAATAAATAAGCAACGTTTCTGAAGAAAGCGCGACTACTTTCACTTTAGGAACGGGTGATGTAATCACCGATTCCTCCTGCGGCGATGTTTATCGTGTTTTGCATCTTTATTAATAACTTACAAGTTATGCAAATTCTTCTCGTGAAGTATTTCATCAAGAACTAGAATTAACGGCCATAACAAATACGATCATAAAAAAAAAGTATAGCTATATATACACCTTTCTTACTGATGTCTTTCATGTTGTAGCTTCAGGATGGCGGATAATACTAGAACGGATAGTGGTGACTCCTCCTCGCCACAAGTAGAGAAAGGATGGTCAGAATTAAAGCAGCATATTGTAGAGAATAAGATCAATTTTGCACTGTGGCTAACAAGATGTTTCACTATTATACTGACCATTGGTTATATTATTCCTATATTTGGGTATGTATTTCCTTACTTTACGATTGGATTATTATATTTGTGTAATCAAGTAATTTTTATTAATATATTCTACTTTTATTAATATTTTCTATTTTTATTAATATATTCTTTTCTCCTTTTTTTCAGCAATCCTTTTAATATATACTATAAGATACTGATGAATAATGCAGCAACAAGTGCACTGCGACTTCACCAAAGAGTGCCACGTGTACAGATCACTAGGCAATTTTTAGAAATGTTATTGTTGGAAGATTCATGCCACTACCTGTTCTACTCGCTGATATTTTTGTATACAGCACCAGCCACATGTATCCTTTCAAGATTTTAGAATTTATTTTAAACTTTAATACTTAATTTCTATTTAAACTGAACAACTGAATTTTTAAGCAGCAACTAAATTCTTTAGTAACAAATCAAGATGAAACCAAAGCATATTTAATCCTAAACCAATATATATAGTGGTACTCACGCCAGTTTTCCTGTTCGCTCAGTTGCACATGGCCAGTTATTTTCTTACATTGCTAGATGTAAGTAAACATGCCAGCAAGCTGATTATGAACCAGTTATTTGTGGAATGAAATTATATAGCATATTTGCATAGTCATTGTAAAATCATAAGTTATCTTTCTTGCTTGTCTGTTGTGCAGTGTCTAGGACACAACTATTGGTGGGGCGCTCGTCTAGGGATATCCTTGGTGGAGTTCCAATCGCGAAAAATTCTTCGTCTGTGTGCTTTATCGGAAATTATTATTTTACCATTTACAGCTGTCCTAGTATTCACGTACGTATCACACAAATCAATCATAAAAATAGGTAACCAAAGATATCTTAGAAAAATTTAGAATTAATGTCAATTTGCATCAACCGTGTGGTAAGCTAACTAACAATTAAATCATGTCTTTGTTTTTCCTTCAAAATCAACAAAGACACATGTTTTAATAATTAGATTGCCATAATTGCCTCGATTGGTGCAATTAAGCTTATGAGATATAAAACGATATAGAAATATTTTCACCAGTTAAAATTTTTATATACATCCAAACGAATTAATATAAATTTGGGTCAAGTAAAACATGAAAACAATTTTATATTTTTAATTGTTATATAACTGTATCATGCGCGAAATAACAATATAGTAAAGTATTTAAAGTATACAGAATGTTTTTTATTCTCTTGCAGGGGTCGCGCTGGCTTACTAACACCTTTCATCTATTATCAGTTTTTGAAACTGCGACTTTCATCTCAAAGGAATCCATACACGCGTAATGTATTCTACGAACTCAGGAACGGATTGAGCTCCGTATCGAAAAAACCGGCCGTTCCGAATATTATTCGCAGAATAATCGACGCTTTGCTCTCAATCACTCAACAAATGGCACCGGTCCGCCAATAATAAATACTTACGATACTATTCTCGAATTTTTTCTCGTTCAAGACAGATCTCCTAGGGTTCTAGGGTCCACTCTCAGCGACACTTTCGTGAATAGTTAGCGCAAGATGAGTGCCGACATCAAAACAATCCCCATAGTGAATGTGTATTATAAAATAATTTGTGAGGTCGTGAAAACAATCAAAGTATGAAGGGTTTCTTATATTAGTAATTATAATCTTTCATTAATGAATGTCAAGTAAAAATATAAGGGTATATTTCGTACTAATATCACACAGAATTCATCACTTAATTAAAGACACAAACGGTGGCTAGGTTTGGTTGTTTATATTTTATACTTGTCAGGATAAAATAAGATTTACGAACAAAATAATAATGCACATGTATTAACTTCATGGTTCCGAACGTAATATGAGTTTGAGCTATGGATTTGTAATAAATAGGTAATGGTATATGTATAGTAGAATTTTTTTTAGTGTTAATCTTATGTTGATTCTTTCCTTTGACTAGCTTAAACTTTGTTTTGTCCAGCTTAATGATGTTAAAAAAATATGTGATATTTATTATGTAAAAAACAAACTTCTGAAATAATTACATTATTTCTAAATAGCAAAATGACAAATCAATTTAACATCTATTTGGAACAAGCTCAATATTTACATATATTATATGTGTTTTGTCAGTTCTTCTGATGTAATCTTATAAATTGATGTATTTTTTGTTTAATATTTAAAATTCATCACATTTAGCTGCTATATTTAGGAAATGCGCGACTTTATAAAAAGGTTCTGGCATTCACCTGGCATATGAGTGACAGTTTTATTTGTTCAATTAAGAATGTTTTCACTGGATATTTATAAGGAAATTTGGAATGTAAACAAATATTGATATAGTGTATCATATATATGGATATATTAAGAACAAAATTATTCAAAATTATATTTATTTCACATATTTTGCAATCCAGATAATGTATTAAATACTTTTGGATGAAGAGAGATTTTGATTTTATATTTAGGGAAGTGTATTGAGATTCGATATCAGATTTATATATATATATATATATATATATATATATATAAATAAAATAAAACTGAGTGCAACTTTTTCATAGGGTCAATGTGGTTTGTTTCAAGTGATTTAACTGTATACACTTTACATACAATCGTACACAACCAGAGAATTTAGATGGGACTCACCCTCGCATTCAGCAGTAGCAATCAGTGTTAAATATATCTTTGAATGATTTTGTAAATGAAAATGATTATCAATATACTGATATAGCAATTAATCTTAAAATGTACTCAATAAATCTTTATAAATAAAATATTAATTTATAACACATACGTTATATTTAGCGTAAATTCCTATCCTCTCCCATTATTAAAAAGTTACTTTTGACACACTAACAAAGTACCAACAGAGATCTGATTTTCTGTATTTATTTATTATTCAAATGTCATTACACAGCGAGAGGGGCAGCTTGAGGCATGTCTTTTGTCGGCTTCACCTCGGAATTCGGCTGCATTGGGGGAATCTCATCCTTAGGTTCCGCGATAGATACATAATCGGGAAGAGGCTTCTTCGGACCAGTCTTACCGACGGGATCCCACGGGAGCATAATCTTTACTTTGATCCCCAGTACACCTGAAATTGTATAAAATTTTCATTATTTAATATCATATTCCCCTTACATAAATGTATTATTGATATATTAATGCATTGTTATACTATCTCTCTTTTTCTCGTTATTATATTAATAATAAAAATACTAAAAAAATCACTGCACCTTGTCGGAGCAGTACGTGGCGGGTCGCAGTGTTCACATATTCGTTGGTTGGTTCACCGGAATGGATCATGAGACCATCGACGAATTTCATCGATTTCGCTCTCTGACCGCGCAATTTCCCACTAACAACCACTTCGCAGCCTTTGGCACCTGATTCCATGATGAAGCGAAGAACTCCATAGCACGCCCTGATTGAGAGAGTGAAAATGAACGAAGAATTGAGTACAGGTGCACACAGAGAAATGCAAGCGGTGAGCAATGAGAAAATTGACAAATAACACTCGATCATTCCTAGACCTAGTAAGAGTGAATCGTCATCTGTAGCAGGTTGATTGCTGAAATTTTTCTGTGGTCTCCCAGACTTACCTTCGAACAGCCAGACCTCCGATGAGCTTGTACCGAAGTGACTCTGCCTGCGCGATCGCGCACAATCCGCGGACGGCGACTTTTTCGGCGTACAATTCAACGTTCTGCGGCTCCTTGAAGTTAAAACGCTTTTGCACCACAGACGTTAGCTCCCTGATTCGGCGTCCCTTCTCGCCGAGTACGCTCTGTGTATGGGTGGCTAACAATATAATCTCCGTCCGGTTAGGCGTCACACGGACCTCCACGCCGGAGTAACCATCCTCGGCGAGCTCACGAGTCAAGAACTCGTTAAGCTCGGCCCTGAAAACACCGTCGCCTACGAACTGGAAACAAAAGGAGAAGATAAATAAATACGAGACCGGACATCTCTTCACTTTAAGGTTAAGATAACCTCAAAATATACACTCCCCGATACAAACACAACGGCGAGCAATGAATTTTTGCGACTCTAAGAAAAATTACGATGCAACGGATTTAAATTAACACAATATCGCACAATCGAAGTAACGACAAATAAACTTGACACGTGGAATCTTGAAACCAATGCATGGACAACGCTGAAAGCATCCGTATCATCCACAAACCTCGTCCAACAAATTTACTTGATTCTTGACGAAATATCGTCCCGACAACTTCCAGCGTTGTTGCAAACAGCATATTTTCATATAAACTTTTATTATAAACCATAAAAAATTACCAACCTTCCTTTTCTTCGAAATCGACCGATTCTCCATATTTTACGACGGATCATAAAAGGAATATCAGCACCGAAAGACTCGATCATTCGACTCGGCTCCAAGCGGAAGCGCCGTTAAATATTCTTCAGGCTCGTACACAAAGATGTTTTATCGTTTCTACATACAGGTGACATAATGCTACAGCCAATGGGCATCTAGTACTGCTGCGTTTACATTTTGATTGGAATATTCCTTTAGATCTAAAAATATATGCGCCGAATGAGCGGTCGTACTTCCAGATACACCCAATATTTTTTATATCAATGGAAAAGTTCTACTGTGTATGATATTTTTATGTTTCAAAGAATTTGCTTTTGACGGATTTGCAGTTAACAGCATTTTTGTCTTTTGCAAATAAATTCCTCACTGGCTTCGCTCCAAAATTCTACTCGACGGATAGAGTAGCATTTAATTGACCAATAAGAACAAAGATAACTAGGATTTCTTTATCATGATTGGTCAATTAAATTACTCTACCCACCGAGTAGATTTTGGAACTATCTAATCGAACGTAGTGTAAATCCGTCATAAACCTATCTTTTTAGCTACACCGTAGGACACTTTTTGCACTCGGAATGAAAGAAGTAACCTATAAATCACGCAATCTGAATAATTACTTTAATACAATAAAAAAGCTCGGATTAGATAAAACAACATATAAAAATGGCAGGAGGGAAGAATGTTCAAGCTGGATTTCAACCGGTAATATAACAATATGGAAAATGTTAGAAGTGTAAAATAACGTAGTTCTATGTTTATGCTCTGATCTTATACTTTCTAGGATTCGGATGTTCATATTACGTATGAAGACCAACAGAAAATAAATAAATTTGCAAGGCAAAATGCTAAATTGGAAGATTATAAGGAAGAACTAAAAGTTAAGCAGGTATCACGTATTTTGATTGAATGCACGTTCATTAAATTAACTATCTCATGACCATATTTGGTCATGTGAAGTTTTACTTTGTATACATAGATAACAATTATTATCTTGCAATTTGCAGAATGAATTAAAAAATCTGGAAGATGCTGCGGACGAATTAGCTCTTATGGATGATGACGTGAAGATACCATATTATATTGGAGAAGTGTTTGTTCATCAGGGACTTGATAAGACACAGGTAACAAAATATCATTAAGAATCATAAAAATTGTTGACATAACATATATTGAAAGCATTCAATATCTCAATAGAAAGAGTAAAAAAGCAATTGATCCAACTTTTAATTCCATACGATGTCACTGTATTTTATTATTTATTTATATCCATAGTTACTATCATTTATCAGCATTAGATATTTTATTCTTAGAACCATTTGGAGGATGCTAAGGACAAGAAAAAAGCAGAGATTGCCAGTCTGGAAAATAAATGCACAGACTTGAAGACTATCATGACCGAATTGAAAACTCAATTGTATGCAAAATTTGGTAGTCGTATAAATTTAGAAGCAGAAGAGGATTAACCTTTTCAATGTATGATGCATTTATGTTTATTTATTAATATCTGCATTTTTTATCATTTGCCAATACAATCCCATTTTTTAAAATATAATTCATAAACAAAACCATTTTGACTGTGTTTTATGTTATATAATTTTTCATAAAAAGTTCAAAATATCTTGTAATAAGCTACATCCGCAAATATTGCAGATATATGATGAATATGTAAGTGTTATTTATATGTTATGTTTAACAATGTATATATACAAGTAGTATATTATACAACTTGTATAATACAAGTGATGTTTGTATTATGTATCATGAATTATTTACACTATTCAATATATTAAAAATAAGTTCAAGAATTTTTTTAAACTACTAAATTCAGTCACAATTAATTAACTGAAAATGATCAGTGGAACTGAGCCTAAAGATTAAGTAACACAGGCTAAATATTGCATAGGATAGAAATGAAATTTGGATATTTGCCAATTTGCTCTCATTAGCAGTACAGAAGTGACTAAGAATGCATTCTTAGCTTTCAACTTATAATTCTTAATTCTGCTGTATTTTCTAGAGATAGAACTTTAAGTTTTTTTTCATAATAATAAAATATACATTATCTGCAGAATTGTTATTATTGTTATATTACTATAAGTAAAATACATATTACTAGTATAATTTTAATTGCATAATAGTGTATAATCTTGTAACTACAAACAAGATGTACAATGAATAATATTCTATATATAACTCATAATTAAAACTTCCAAGTGAACAATTTATTAATTTTTTTACATTGTACACTCACATTGCGATTAAAATATGAATAGATATTAAAATATGAATAGATATAATAAGATATAAAATCATAGAAAAGACAATTTTAAAATTTAGTCTGCTTCAGTTCTGGTCACTTATTCACATACAATGAAATGCTTAAATTCCTACACATAGTCTTTTTCCGCGTATCTTTCTCTCTCTCTCATTCTCTCTTATTTCGGCGTGCGGTAAATTTAGTTTCACCTACCAGCTTCAAAGTCCTCAGTAGATGTTCTACCATGGTATAGTTAGTTACTCTCTAAGGGTAAGTTTCAACAGCATACCTTATAAGACATAGTATTTACACACGTATACAAATATAAGTGAGTAAGTTTTTATAAAAGATTTATACGTGACTCGAAGGAAAAACAGAGTAAGTATTCATGAAAAATTTTTGAACACTGTTTATAAATGAAATCTGTGTTATACATTATACTTATAGTAATGGATGGTAAACCACGATATGTAGAGGAAAAGTTGTAGATTCTGTTTCGTGTTTTCAAAGCGCAACAACTCTGAAGAAGATTATTTATATGCGAAATGGAAATAGCAAAGGAACTCGTACTGAGTCTCAAGCAAAATAATAAGTCGCACGTTGGATATGGATTGCAAAAAGAAAGCGAAGCTCTTGTGGGACATATCTTACAGAACATGGTCAGATCCCAGATGCCATCGCTACATGCTGTAACGAAAAATGAAGAAGACTCTATTAGATATAGAGAAGAAGGTATGTGCATCTTCTTTTTAAACATCAACATGTAACATTGCTTTAATTTTGCTCAACGAATAAAATTCAGGTAATCAACACTTTGTAATGGGTGATGATCTGGAAGCTATTGAGTGTTACACCCTGAGCTTAGCGTATGCCGACAACGACGAACTCATGGCGTATGCACACGCAAATCGTTCTGCCGCTCTGTACAGGAAACAATTGTATAAGGAGTGTCTGATAGATATTGATGCAGCTTTGTGTCACGGATATCCAAAAGAAAAGCGAAGCAAGTTAAAGGAAAGGGGAGATAGAGCAATAGAAGAGATTAACAAGCAATTACAGACAGAGAATATCGAGGAGCAAGTTATGGATGAACCAAATAACGTTGAAAAATCTGCTATGAAACCAGGAAGCTCCGAGTACATCGTGGACGAGGCGAAAAAGATACTAGAAAAAGATCAAGTGATTAATGGTCAGGAGGAACGAGAGGTGATGTCTAATGAAAGTTACCTTTATCACGCAACGAAGATCCCTTCGCAGAAACCGAGGTACTTGCAGAACGACGACTTCTCCAAGCTGCCGTATGGTCCGAGCAAGGAAGTTCCTGCTGTCAGTGACGGCGTCGCGGTATCTTTCTCCGAAAGATACGGCAGACATTATGTAGCGACGCGGGACTTCAAGCCCGGCGACATAGTCTGTATCGAAGATCCATACGCACATGTTATTTATGAGGAGCGGTAAGATAGTAATTACATACTTATTCAACCTTTTATTCGTGTCTGTATGTATGTAAGCATGTATATATGTACTTTTCTCAACTGTTACAGGTATTACACACATTGTCACTATTGCTTGTCCAGAAGCTATAATTTGATACCGTGCTCCAAGTGTCCCATAGCTCAATATTGTTCTAAAAAATGCAGGAAATTGGCGTGGGCGATGTGTCATGAGACAGAATGTCCAATTTTAAAGCTGTTGACCAATTTGCTTAATGTCGATAAGGATAAAATAAGAATGATTTCTAAAATTATACGACTGCTGATTACAGTGACAGGAAATGGAAATAAGATCAAGGAGTTGCAACAGGATATGAAAATTGCAGAATCTAATCCAGGTACATACTTTCAATACGTGAGACTACTAATTGAATTACTATAGTGATAGATAACGACTCTTCAATTTTTCCTTGTAGACAGTAGAACGGCAGGATTTACTGATGCTGGAATACTAGATACTTTCAGTGCACGATCTGCTTTGAGTCTGGCAACTAATATGACTACAAGACCTCTCATCGGGATTAGCGCGTTTGCTTGTATCTCGGCTCTCGCAGTGATTCTTCTAGCTACGCAGACGAAATTCTTCCCGAAGAAATACGAAATGGACGATCTGAAGGACATCAGTGAATTCTCCGAGCTTAAATTCTGCGCCAGTATAATGTTTCGCGCCTGTGTAATAATGTCATGTAATTGCTTCTCAGTAAGTGAATATTTTCACTCTTAGAACTGCAAATGCTCCTTTTTAGAGTTTCTTTAGTCAGAATTGGGACAAAGCATGATGATTCTTGATTGATCCGTATCTTGTCCGCCATTTTCAGAGATGACGTGAGTAGAAATGAGAGAGAAGCTCTAGAACAGCTGAAATGACGCAACTTCTATCTCACTCACTCATTTACTTTCTCCCTTAAAATGGCGGATAGTGTCCTAACTCTGACTTGAGGAACTCTGCTTCTCTTGTTTATTATATATAAATTCATACAGGTGCAACAGGAGCCGGGGATCGTATCAGGCTCAGGTTTGTATGTAGCTCACAGTTTGTACAATCATTCTTGCGCGCCGAACACTTTTCGACACTTTGAGGGGCTCACCATGATTACGCGTGCATTGACACCTATACGTCCCGGCGATCAGATATTCACCAGCTATGGTGGTGTGTACGCGCATATGCCTAGATTTGAGAGAAAGCAAAAGATATTGCAGGACTACTTTTTCGACTGCGATTGCCCGGCGTGTGAGAATGACTGGCCGACGTACAATGAGATTCTACGAGGTCACATCGGATCTATCTCCAAAAACAAAAAACTTGTAGAAAAGCTGAGACCTTTCAGGGAGAGACTGCTCTTGAATATGTATGATATCGACGCGGTAAAGGCTGTTCTCGACATATTGCACGAAGAAGTTACAAAATATCCGTGTGAGGAAATGCTTCACGCGGAACAATATCTAAAGAGCTATTACTTGGGTAAATTTAAGTGAACATTACTATTGCGATGTTTTTTGCACTTAAAAACAGCTTTCGTATGTATACAGCTCTGCTTCATGCTAATGCTTCTCGCTTTGGCAATAGTATTTTGTTTATTATTCTTTTAGTCGATACTTTTAGCTTGATGTAAGCGTGCATGGCTTTGTTACCTTCTTTTAGCCAATAAAGTTACCTTTTGCAGCATTATTGATATTTGTACAAGGAATTGTCAACCTCCTGTTTTAGCAACATTTACTTGTTACTGCACACATAGAGCTTTTAATAATTAAAAATTAAAGGAAAATATATCTTTCGAATTTCAGATCCATAAACTTTCGGAGAATGCAATAATAATTGCAAATATATGTCCAATTTAATGATCGTTTGTAAGGATGTAAGTAAACAATATGTAAATGAGTAATAGTGTATCATAAATAAGATCTATCATAAATCAATCAATCGACGAGTTTTCTTGGTATATTTTAAATATATATTTAAAAGTTTTTGGATTTCGATTTTAATTTATTTTTTCTTTATTATATAGATATCTAGTTTGTTATTTAGGCAAATTTGATAATAATAAAATTACATATAGTGCAACGACAAGCAAGGAATACAATTTATAAATATGTATATATATATTGAGTAAAGCTATAAAGAATTTGAACATTACGTTAGAACTGGATATGCAGGCTTATAAGATTGACTTATTAATATCATTTCAAGTTACGCGCTTAAATAAGCACAGGTCTGTCCATCAGATGGCGTTTGGCAACGTATAGTCTACTGAAAACCATAATAGCAGGAGTTTATTCCCAATGTCATTATTTACGTTCGACAAATAAGAAACGCATAATAATGATACCAGAATGAGCCTGTACTTTCTTTCTAATAACTTTTTCAGCGCCAAGATGCGCTCCAGGGGTCGTACTCGAACGTTAAGTACGCTTCCCTGATTGTCAGGTTGACAATTTTATCCGGGATGTTTGTATAAGAGAAACGGAATTTGGAATAAAAATGATGTAGCATTCATACGAACGTTAAGAATACGGCTTTAATATCATCGTAGTTCTGTGAGAGAAGTTTGTAAAAGTTTGTGCTGCCCTCGCGCGTACCGCCTCGGGATTACGATGCCGTTAAAAGGAACGAACCTAGATTGGTTGACTTAGGTTAGGCTAGGACTAAGGTTGAAGTAGATAGATGGTTAGGGTTAGGTTAGGTTAGATCGGGTGGTGGGTGGCGCATCGAAAGGAGCGTCTTTGGTCGCGATCGTAGACAGTCGAGCAAGTGTAAATTCGCGGCTGCCGCTCGCGGTTGTGCTCGCGGCGTGATGCGGAACGCAAACGGGGAGTCGCATCGATCGCATCGCCGCGCGGCGTTTCCTCCGTTCGTTCCCGAGCTACTGTCTCGCCGCGTATGAACGACGCCTCCAGCGTCAACGTCACGTCACGTCGCGTCACGTCGCGTCGCGTCGTTCGCGGTCGTACGAGTAACCTCCGCGCGCGAAGGCAAATGGAGACGAACATGGCTCGGCCGATCGTGTGGTTTTCTTTGGCACGGTGAAATCTCTGGTTGATTGTTCCGGAGGTTCTCGAGCTAAGGAGCGCCGACGACGACGACGACGACGACGACGACGACGGCGGCGGCGGCGGCCCCGCACGAGTGAGTAAAGCTCTCGTCGCGAATCGACCGTTCTAAAATGGAGCGCCACGCACTCTCCTCTCCTCGTCATTGCGAGTGCGTGGCCCTGTTTGTAATGTGGCGTCGCGCCACACCGCGCCGGCGGCCCATCCTTTTCCCGAGTTTTACCCTCGTCCGAGCGTGCGCGACGAGGAGGAGGAGGAGGAGGAGAAGCTGGGCGTGCGGCTGGGAGAAAGACCGTTCGTGACATAATAGCTCCGTTATTTCCCCCGTGCCGAGATTTAGTCCACACAGTAGCGAACGAGCGAGCGAAAAGGGTAGAAGGAGAGGCAGACGAGGAGAAACAGAGAGAGAAAAAGAGAGAGAGAGAGAGAGATCGAGCGAACAGAAGGGGTAGGGGTGAGGAGGGCGGGGGGGAAAGTTGCGGAAGCCCAGCTGTTCGCAGCCTTCGCAGCTTTGCCGGTGCGCAAAGGTTCGATATCACCCCCCGCGTCGTACGTCGCGTTGCTTTCGTGATGTAAATATACGCGTTGTACGCCGCGAGAGAGCCGCGCGCACGCGAGTCCGCTGCTTCGCTACGTTGCGGTTTCGCGTGTATCGGAGTCATCGCCAGCACGTAATCCGGGGCATATGGCTGACGACTTTTCCAACGCGATCGAGAGAAGAGATTCGCCCCCTTAATCTTAAGATATTAAAAGCCCTAACCGTGCTAACCGCGCGCTCCGGGTTATTGGCACTTCCGCGCGCACAGTCGGGAGCGCACAACAGGCTCGCCTGTATATGCGCCGAGTGCGCGACGATTCTACACGTCCTGCCGTTTTCCGATTGATCGCTCAGTTTCGCGGGGACGGATCGACCGATAATCACGTTTAAATATCCTAAAATATCCGCGCCGCCGAGAACGTCTCTCGCGTGAACGTCGCTCGTCGCGACAGTCGACGCGAATGCGAGATGAAGCGTGAAAACGTCGCATCTATCACTATATACATACATACGTACACACAACGGGAGGAATTAAAATACGATTGAAATAACGGGGCTTCTTTTTTCTCATTGTGCGCAATATCCGCCGACGAAACAACTTCCGCGGAGACCGCAGAGTTACAAGTTTTTACGCGCTTGATTTTTATTTTCGTCGGTGTGCTGAATACCGTCCCACAGTCGACGCGCGACACACAGCGCGTCTGGTAAACCGACGAGAAAAAAGGGCCCGCAACCGGATCTGTCCTCTGTCGTTGGCGAAAAACAGATGTTCTCCTCGTGATACAACGAGAATCGCGGATGTGTACCTGCCGCAGGCCTGCCGAGACGAACGATTCGCGCGTCGAGTGATATCGCTTCATTTTCTCGTAGATTCTCTTGATCTCTTTTTTTTTTTTCATCCGTTGGTCTGTTCTTTTCAGTCGCACAATAAGTTAAAGTGAGATAAAATATATTTGTCTCACTCATTGCGGCAGTACAGCTGAAAAGAACAGACCTAGTGTGTACGAGTAACAATTTCGCTATCATCTGGAGCCGCTGCTTTGAGAATATCCACGGCCGTGAAGTAATGAGCCGCGAACGATCGCTCGCTCGCTCGCCGGGGAGACGCGAATAAAACGATTTTCACATCGGTGTGGTCCCTTTCGCGATATCTGTTTAGTCGAGCGTGCCTGGAGCGGATAAAAAATTATGATGCAGGACGCGCGTATTGCCTGTGCAGAGAAACCGTGCGAGAGAGAGGAAGGATGATTCGATCGAGAGGGAAGTGAAGATTTGCCGTCACCCTGGCGCGCGACAAATCGGGTCAAAGGCCCGGATCCTCGTCCTCCTCGTCCTCGTCCACGGAGCGGCTGCAAAAGATGCCCGGACCGTCGACGCAAGACAGACCCCGTGCTCATCGACTCACCGACATCGAGCCGCAAACGGCGAAGGTTAGATAGTTTCGAAATGACAGAGCGTGTAACTCGGCGGTACATCGACGTGTAACTTCAGAGTACATCAAAATAGACAGATCACATAAGTACGGTGCGCGGTTTTTGGATTTGTTGACGGGAAGTCTTCGGGGCGAGCGACGCCTCGCAGTCGATGCTTCGAAGGCGTAGACGACCGATCGTATGCAGCAAGCTAAACGGCGGTGACCCAATTTTATCCCGCTACTGTGGATCCGTACGCGACGTGGATTCGACACGATTCTCATCGGCGCGATACACGCTTGATGCTGTACGGAAAAGAGAAAAAGAGATTTCAGTTTATGCAATTCAATTGAAACCAAACGATAGCTCGACGACGAGAAACGGTGTCTCTATCGCCGCGGCCGGAAACGTACGAAAATTCGGCTGCTTTAAAATCTGGTCGAGACGATTGACGACAATCGGCCGATTAGAAATCTTTTTGAGAATTTGTCTCATTTCTCATTCGTGCTTCTGTGTGGTCTCCAGATAAACAGGGAACTGATCACAATTGTTTCCGTTTCCTGTATAGAACGCGCGCTTTTGAAGGAAATATCTCAGCGATAAGGTAAAAATTTCCGGCCATATAACAGACAGAAACTCGAATATAGAAATGAGGCAAGTTCTCAAAAAGATTTCTAATCAATCGTCTCAACGAGATTTTAAAACAACCGAATTTTCGACAACCTAATTTTGGACATTCTTATTATTTTAGTCTTAAATACATAAATATATAAATTTTCAACATGGAATATATTATATTTCTTTTTTTGACGTTGAACGTTTAAATATTCGTACATGAACAAAAGAAGATATGGTGCGCCATATCCAGAGATATTTGAAAAGATCTTTGATCTTTGTGCATTCTAGCATCCTAGTTATTTTTTTTTTTTTTATGCGATAGCAATATTTATGTGTGTTGATACGACTTGGTTACCTCTTGGTACTTCACTACGTCAATGTAATCGTGCGTGAAATGGTTGTGGCAACCAGAATCGGCCGGGGTGACATTTACCGTAGAAACACTCTGATCAAAGCAACCAAATAACTATAACTCAGCAATTGTATTCTGTGGTTGCAGCAATTACATTAATAGTTGTTCCACTATCGAATCTGATCGACACAACTTATGTATGGCCAACTATACTATTTTTTCTGTGTATTTAAAAACTAAAATATTAAAAATGTCCAGGATTGGATACGTGTCCGAGCATTGGTACTTTTGCTTTACTTCTACGTTGCAAGTCAGATTCTCAGACCGTTTCACAATTACGCGATTTACCTGTAACTACCGAGATCAATGACCTATTTCTGTCAGAACGGTCAGTATGATAGAGAATTTTCCGAGAAAATGCGAGGGAAGAAATGTTTATTTCCTTTAGTTGTATTCAATGTCAATTAAAAATATAAACCCAACCGATTTGTGCAATTTTTTATAATTTTTACATGGAATTATACAAACTTTCGTAATTTTGACTGCTTTCGTAATTGTGGTGTTGAGTTGCGCACAGCAAGTGAATTGTAACTTTGAAGTTACAATTCAGTGGATTAATTATCGGCTCGATCCTCCTCTTACTTGCCAACAAAGTGCTTATCTTGTTGAACAAACTTGCAGGGCCTGGGATGTAATCGAGCGGACGATTTCAGTACACCTGTTAGTTCTGGCAGCAACATGAGTAGCATCGCGCGCTTTCCCAAACTCGACGAGTGCGCCCATTTTCACTACGAGCACGTCGAGCTCGGTACTCTGGAGGTACGTTAGTGAAAAGGTACGAAATGCGCGATGGAGGTGGTCGAGGTACACCGACTCTGTTTCTCAGGTATCCGTCAACGACGGTTCCAACGACTCTGACAGTTACGCCGTTAGAATAACGTCCGGAGACGCTTGCTGGACGCTGCAGAGATCCTACGACAATTTCGTCATGTTCGACAAACAACTGCATCGCTGCATATTCGATAGAAAATTCTCCTCCCTAACGAAGCTTCCAGATATACGGCCAAAAAACGCCTGTGATATACTGAAGGATTACCTGAGCCGATTCTCGCAGCTGAATCACGAGGGCCTGAACTGCGGCCCGGTGTTGAATTGGTTGCAACTCGACAACAGAGGCAGGAGAATCCTCGTCCCGGAATCGGACTCCTGCCCAATAAATACTCCAGCCGTTGCCGCGGCGTACGCCGTAAGACCTTACACCGCTCAAGCGCAGGATGAAATTTCCTTCCAGGTAATCCTTCATACACACTCTTTGCGCTCCGCCAAGTCGCGAGTGGGCTATTAAACGGGACTTGCGGTAACGCGAAATGATCTGTCAAACGCAGGTAGGCGACATGATATCCGTCATAGACATGCCCCCTCCGGGGGAGAGCACATGGTGGCGTGGCAAGCACGGATTCGCGGTTGGATTTTTTCCAGCCGAATGCGTCGCCGTGATCGGCGACAAGGTGCCGCGTCATCTGACGGTCTCGACAACGGTCAGATCGAGATTACCGGTGAAGCCCGTGTTGCGAAAGCACGGCAAGCTAATCGCATTCTTTAGATCCTTCATACTGAATCGGCCCTCCAGAAGGAGGTTGAAGCAATCGGGCATATTGCGAGAGCGTGTGTTTGGCTGCGATTTGGGAGAACACCTGCTAAATTCTGGTCAAGATGGTAAACCTCTTTCATTTATTTATTCACGCAATATACCGATGTGTTGTGTATATGTGAATTGTCAGCGACTTTAGCTACAAAGAGAACATTACGAAGAGAAAGAAGAAACGTCGCTCGTTTTGCAGTGCCGACCGTTTTGACGTGCTGCGCGGAATTCATAGAGAAGCACGGTCTAGTCGATGGTATATACCGCCTTAGCGGCGTAACGTCCAACATTCAGAAACTGCGAAACGCCTTCGATGAGGATCGAGTCCCGGCGTTGCATTCCGACGAGAGTATTCTGCAGGATATACACTCCGTGGCGTCACTATTGAAGATGTACTTCAGAGAGCTGCCCAACCCGTTGTGCACGTACCAGCTTTACTCGACCTTTGTCAGTGCGGTTCAAGCTGGCACCGACGCCGAAAGATTGAGACGTATGAGAGACGCGGTTAGAAAGTTACCACCACCTCATTATAGGTAGGACGATTTTTCTACCTAATCGTTCACCCCATTTTGTTGAACTGATTCGTTGAACTAACGGTTTTTAAACCTCTTTCCTTCGATGTGCAGGACACTAGAATATCTGATGCGTCATCTGGTGAGGGTAGCCGCACGCGGCACGGAAACAGGTATGACTCCGCGCAACGTGGCCATCGTCTGGGCACCGAACCTCCTGAGATGCAAGGAGCTGGAAGTAGGTGGTGTAGCGGCGTTACAAGGTGTCGGAGTGCAAGCTGTCGTGACGGAATTTCTAGTCTGCTACGCTGAGCTCATATTCGGGGATGGCCCGGTCGGTAGACCAAAGTCTCTGGCGATCACCACATCCGCGCGACTGCTCACACTGGAGGAGGCGCGCAACAGAAGCCTCCGGGGTGAGCCCGATTACATAGAAGTGGGAGCAGGTCCAGCTGGGTTACCACTGCGCTATCATACGGTCATCGAGCTGCCGCGCAAGAGAAACGGCTCGAAACGATCGCCTTCGCTAAATTGGCGGGCGTTATTCGGCAGAGGTGCTTTGGGCGCCATGGGCAAGACCAGACAGATCGGCACGCCGCCGCAAGCGGAAACGGTACCGAGCTCTTTGAACTCCCTGCGGCGGCTGAGACCCGTCAAAAGCGCCGACAGTTTGGACGGCGAGGACAGCTTGGGTCCGCTCTTGGGACCGCCACCTACGAGAACTTGCGGTCACAGTAGATCCGTCTCGCACGACTCTTACTTTGATCACTTGGCAGACGCCCCTAGTGCACCATCGCCGCTGGATCTCTCGGAGATACAGCTCAATTTCGATTTGGAAGAACGAGAAATGAGGATGTTCTCGGAGGAGGAAGGCGGCGGTGTAGCGTCGGTGGAAGCATCGCCGCGTCGACAGAGGACTGACGGAAGTCAGTGCACTGCCGTTACTGGCGGCTCTAAGAGGAAACGATCTCGTTTAGAGGAAAGACTGCACTGCGATGTCGAGCTGCGTTTCATAGACAGCCAAAGTCCAGATCAGGTGATTAATGTAGTGACGTTGTGAACAATTTTTCACACTATCCTCTGTATAGCTGTATCTAAAGAGTCATTGAATCTTTCAGGTTATGGTAGCAACAAGCGCGGACATTCACAGCATCGACACGCCATCTCCGTTACCAACGCCGGGTTATTTACCGTTATTGTCAGAAGCCTCTACCCCGCTTACGCCCGCCACGTTGCAAACCACGTCTCACTCCCCTTCGCCGGTACCGGCTAACAGTCCCAGAATAAGCTTCCGAAGTTTCACTTTGCCGTTGGAGATCGACGACGAACGCAGTAGTAGCAGCGCGAACAAATTAACGGAGACCAGCGCGTCTTCTGAAAAGTCACCAGAGCCCGTTAATCATAGATTATCTATCAATTTGGAGGAACGGGACAGAGGAATAGAATCCTCCGAGGGAATTCCAGCGTATGACGGATGCATGGAGAAGTTGCACGATAGAAAACGCACGATAACTAATTCGCTCTCGGACGCTAAGAGTCAGGCCGGGAGTCGATTGAGCACGGTATTCAACGGCGCGGATGCGCCGTGCGACAACAGATTATCCGCCGCCTGCAGAGAAACGTCCGAGTCCAGCGGAATTGTTCGCAAAGACGCGATGGACGGATTGTCCAAGTCGCACGACGGCGGGGAGACCGCAAGCGATGTGAAGAAACGCGACGAACCCACCGATTCGCAGAACAATCTCAACGCAGTACGGGAAGCTAATTTGCCGAGATTGCCGTTGTCCAATACGACCGATCTCGACTCTCCGATGTCGTGCGAGCAGACGCTCCAGGAGCTGCAAGAGTCCGGCTTTGTAATTTGCGATAGCACCGACAAAGTGTTCACCAATACGGAAACGCCGCGCCTGATCGGTAACACCAATGATTCCGGGGAGTGGGTGATCATAGGAAGAACAGCGGGCTCCCTGACAACGCCGATTAGCGAGCCGACTAGTCCCAACAATTCTTTCCTGGAGAGCAATCCAACTATAGCCATTGCGACGCAGTTACGTCCGACGTCGGATAATGTTTCCGAAGCGTCCTTGGATCTCGCGTTGACTTCCACCGTGGATGCCTTCCGCCTCGGCAAGTCCGTGGAAAATCGCGTGTCGCAGCAGGAGAGCGAGGAAATGATACTCGATGTCGCAGACACGAAGGAATCCGCGAGTCGCGAACACGAGAATCAGAAAGGGGCCGATCGCACAGGCTTTGATCTTGAGAACGAGAGTAACCTCGTGGATGATCTTGAAAATGAGTCCCACGCCCGACTGCATGATCGCGAGAACGGCAACCGATACTCGTGCGACACGACGAGCGCGGATATCAATTCGAGTCAAGAGGCTAATAATCTCACGAGAGAACAGCAGATTCGTGCGTGCTACGCTGAAGCGGATAACGCAAACGTGTTCGGCAGAAATCAGAACGAAGCACGCGAGACGAAAGAGGTATTCAGGGAGACTTTCGAGAGCTATCATCGTCTGTCGCGAGACACGAGCGTACGGCGGGTGAATCACTCGAGATTATCCGGTAAAACTGAAGAAGACAAGGAGACGAATCGTGTAACACGGGACGACCGCGACAACAACGAGCGTTGTTCGAACGGCCTGTCGGAAAAGTGCCAAAGTTTCGGATACAACAGTTCGCAGAAAGCACAGCAGACTGATTCGCAGCAGCAGCAGCGCAAGTGCACCCCTTCCAAACGTAGCGACACAAACGATAGTCACAAATGCGTAAATATACAAGCCGGTCAGATGGCGAGTAACGTCGAGGTGAGAATACCTTCGGAGAACGCGGCCGAGCCTTGCGAGGTCGCTCACGTGCCGGAGGGAGCGTCCGAGACAATGGAGCGGACAATAGACGCCTCGAGTACGTTTTCGAACGTCTCGTCGCCGAGCGCCGACGACGAGACGATCGTTTTACGGGACACCGCGACCATCCTGCAGGAATTGGCCTTGCAGAGATTATCCGGCGGCGCTGTAGCGGATCTGTCGTCCAGACGTAGATACGAAAACGAAACGAGCAGAGATCGGCGAAGCTTCGATTCGGAGATCGGTCGGGAGATCGTCCGGGAGAGAAAGATCAGGCAGGAGTTGGACTGCGCAAGAGGCAAGTCCGAGGAGCCGTCGCAACATTTGCCGCCTTGTTTGCGAGCGCGCCACGCGAGATCAACTCGCGCGGCGCTTAGTCGCTCCTTAGACGAGGCCAAGTTCAATCGTATGACGGGCGAGATTGCATTATCGGTGAAGCAAACATCGTCCGAGGACGCGCAGCACTGCTCCACGCCTAACGTCGGCAGCGGTTCCGGCGCATGCTCCAACATCTCTGAAAAGATTCAGCTGAAGAATCTCGGTGGCCTAGACTTGGGAGACCCGCAGTGTAGAGAAAGAATCGAAAAGTACAAAGAGGAGAGGAGGACGTTCTTGAGGGACAAGTATCGATCGGAGAGCTTTCGCGGAATTTCATCCAGAACGGAGGACGACGGCGAACAAGCGTTGTTAAACAGGTTGAAACAGAGAGCTTCGAGACCCTCTCTTCATTGATCGAGTCTGGTCCTCCTCTTAAGTTTAATCTCGACAGTAGTAGTATAAATAAGAGCCGCAGCAGTTGATGCGTAATCGGTGATGACTAGTGTCTAGTATACGTTTTTAGAGAAAGTGCAAATTATAGAGTTGTCGAATTTCATCGACCGACCAAATTCCGCAATCTTTTTCCTCTAACGCAACGTTATTCTTCTCTCGTTTCGGAAATAGTAGAACGATCAGATAGAATGAAGTATCGTACGGAAGTATGGATACGAGTGTATGTATGTCTGTATGTGTGTGTGTTTGTGCGCGCACGTGTGTTTCCGAATGAAAGTAAGAGAATACGCTATTTTAAATCACGCTTCGTATATTTTTTATTGAATTTGCATTATATCGCAGATGCGCGCTAACTTATCGGCTTATTTGTACTACTTACATGACTGCTATCGCATTATAGATGACGTACTATTTATGTAATTCTCCATCAAACGCTTTTACTTGATCCACTAAACTGCTTGCGTCTCATCGGTGCCACCGCAAATCGATTTGTAAATGATATGTGAAAGTGGATTACGACGAGGATGGTAGAATAAGTTACTCGGTCCATGACTCATCTTCGTCTCGCCTATCGCCATCATTAACTAGCTTGAATTGTATGAACGTTTATAAAACTCGTTATTAATTTATTAATGACTTGAAAAAAGATATTCATTTTTATTACTGTTATAAGCTTTAATAACAAATTTTTGTAATTATTACTATTATTATTATTATATATATATTATTATTATTCTTTGATTTTTATATTCATTCGAATTATTTGTATTGTTACGCTAGTGAATGAAAAGTAATTGAAGTGCTTTGAATGTATTAAAGTCATGAGAAAGTTTGCGAAATAATTGAGGCTCGCGTGAGAAAATTGATAAGTTGTAAGATATTTGAGAAGTTGATATATTTTATTTTCATATAGGCATACGGTTCGTTATCAAGTACGTTTCTTCATTAGGCGAGTTTCACAGTTGCCGCTTGTGAAATTATTTTTTCATACAACTCGAGTTTTTCCATGAGGATATTCTCATTTTTTGTTCTGCAAAATATACGTTTGTACGTGCTTCCTGTGTTCCTTCGCTCCACGTTCGCATTCGGCGACACGTGTATTTTTTTAATTTTACAACTACATAAACATTGCATCTTATCCGAATTCCTACAATTATGCTTGAGGAAAAATAATCCGATGCATATTTCAATCTTGATCTAACAACCTTGGACATTGAATATTAGAAAGTTCCAACGAATTTGTTTATAATTATTAAGCTTACCGTTTTTTTACTCGTGCATCAACGTTATTGTCTCGTTATAGACTGGTTCGTAACAACACTTATGGATATAGATGTCCTTTGAAAAGAGAGAGAGAGAGAGAGAGAGAGAGAGAGAGAGAGAGAGAGAGAGAGAGAGAGAGAGACACCGATTCTTTCGAGTAGTTTACATGTGTAACATATTAATTTCTATGACAATGCGCTTATCGATGATGAAAGCTCGCTTGAAATCAAGATTACTATCTGAACAAAGCGGTCTCCTTAAAAACCGAGCGATTAGAGCGCCGTTGGCCTCGCGTATTAATATATAAGTTTCCATTATTACGGACTAAGCGGTAGTTCTGTTTAGCTACCTCACCTCACTTCACCTCATTACACCTCACCTTACCGCTAATTACGGACGAAATTGTATGCCAATTAAGATTTAGTTGCGTCAATAGTTTAATTTATTTTCGAGCGAGTTCTCAATCGCTCGCCCGGCAAAGAGAAAGAAATGTTGTTTTCACGGGCAGAGAAATTCTTTTTTTCCGCAAAGACACAATAAGATGAATCGCTATTCCTTTTCCTTTGGGCGCGGTTTCGAGGACCGTTTAATAAGACTGTGGCACAGTTATCGAGTTATGATTTTAACTGTGCTCACGTCGTTGCGTTTCGCATGTAGACGCAACGAGCGAGCAAACCACATATCCTAATCCAATACTCCACAGACAGAGAAAGAGACAGACAGAGAGAGAGAGAGAGAGAGAGAGAGAGAAACAGAGAAAGATAGAGACAGGCAGAGAGCCATGTACGCGGAAACGTGCGTTTTGATCTCTCGCGAATCGAAGCATTTAATCGGATGAATGACGAAATTATCGTTTGCGCAATCACATTAAGGATCTCCGCACAAGAACGTCTGTAACACTTCAAGTTGCGTCAAGTGCTGACCGCAAACTGAAGTCTGTACGTAACAGTAAACTTAGGTCAACGCACAAAGACAATCTTGTAACGTAACAAAAGTTTGATTACGTGTGATCAAGCGTCTCGTTAATCGTGAAGGTTAGTGTGAAGTATATATCAAGTATTTTATAATGCAAAGAAGATTGGAAGAGAAGCATTTAATTTAATAAATTAATATCTTATCGGAATTTTTCCTCATTCTATGGTATGCCGTTTGTTTATTCATTTAGTCAATACAATGACTAAATTTAAAAAACGTTATAACATAGAAAAAATAATATAAAAATTTTGATAAGATATTTGTTAATTGTCTCTACTGTTTGTTTTTTATTACGAAATATTTGATATATTTATATCTCATACATGTGCCTGTGTCACGCAAAACCAAGCTTTTGTTGCGTTATGATTGTGTGCATTGATTCAAATTCACCGTCACCCACGAACTTCAATTTGTGATTGGAGCGTAACTTGAAGCGTCACGGACGTTTCTGTGCAGAGACCGTTTCAGTTGTAGCTTCTTTCCTTGACAACGTACGCGACAGTAGGTTTGGTTTCGAGCGAATCTCTAGTTTCTCAACGAAATCGCTCACTTTGCGCGCAGCGACTAATCACGCCCATTATTAATCATCACCGAGATCCCGGACGAGCCGTGCGATACCGCGCGAGAGTCTCCCCTGACGAAGAAGTCGTCGCAATCCCTTGCTCGCGGCTCGATCGTGTCTCTGTCGCCATCGAGGCCTGAAGATCTGTAAGCAGCGTGCACGCACACATAGCGCACTTACTGACGATTAATGAACGATTAATGACGAAATACTTAGAGATTCAATAGTTGCTTCCCTGACTACTCTTATCCCGGCGATAGCGATGGCCTAATTAGGAAGAGAAGGTATCTAGACGAGAAAACGCCTAAAGAACGAACCCCTCTCCACCTCGTTCCCTTCTCCCTTTCCCCGCCTCCGCCCCCCTCGCCGTTTACAAATGAGGTACCTAATTATATTTGTGCACAATACGACGCGCAATAATGATACATCGATCGAGCGATGTGTATTTTTAATAAGTTGAGGATTCATGCGATTCCGCGCAATAGTTGTAGTAGACTATCCTTAGAGACCTTCGGCCGAGAACACGAAACGACAATTATAAGTCGCGTAGAAGAAGTAATGTTGTGTGTAAAACGATACAAAGACTAATTCTGTAATATTCAAAGGCTAATAGTAATCTTGTTTTTGAGTGTAGGAGGCTCTCACCGCCTTATCTATGGCCGGGCGCATTTTCGCCCATCCTCCCTTCTCCCTCGCCCCATCCGCGTCTCTTCCTCCTCCTGCTCCCTTAGTTATAATCGCATTTAGTAATAATTGTTTCCGTTATATGAGAGACTACTCTCTGTTTGTCGATTACAATTATAATATATACAAGTTGTACGTAAAAAAATAAATATAAATGCTGTAAACACACCGAAAGGATATTCTCCCTGCGGTTCTTCGCGTCGCGCTATTCACGCAGCGTTTTAAACCTATATTAGGCGATTTTTGGCGATCGTTTGGTACATGTACCAGGTTATTATTGGCCAAGTTTACATCAAACATTTTATATATGTATTAAATATTCATACAATACAAATATCCAAAATATCTTCCAGAGATATCCAGATATCTCTGCGACGTCTCTAAAATCGTATTTTGGACATTATACTGTACAGATATTTAGTACATATATTAAATGTTTCATGTAAATTAGGCCAATGACAATCAGGTACATGTACCAAACGATCACCAAAAATCGCCTATTAATAGTTATTATTCGAATGACACGAAGTGAGATACTCTCTGACTTGAATTCAAATTTGGATGAGAATTTTTCAGTTAAATCGCGATTACAGAGACGTATTCTGATTGTTTTGGCCTCTAAATATGAATATTTAAATTTTTACACAACATGGAATATATAAACATATATTAAATATATACACACATGTATATATATGACGCGAGTGAAACGCGACGTGGTGTCTTTGCTTCCGGGTGATACACGGATGTTTCGTTACGGTAACCACTCGGTCTGTTGGCGGTCGAGGTCTCCCTTCGTCTCATCGAGTCCCGGCTGCTTTCGAGCGGGTTCATCTTGAAGCCCAAGCGGTAAGTTCTCTCGACGTTCTGAGGGACCTTTAGTCTTTACTTCTTTAAACGCTGTGATAGAGTGGATGAAAAGAAGTGGGGGCCCACTCGACCGGGGTGCCGGAAGAGGCGCGAGAACTCGCAGAAGGGGAACCAAGTCCGCCTTTATATCGTAGAACGAGGACCACTCGAGAGGCCAGGAAGCATCGAGGTAAGGGCGACTCCGTGACTATCGTCGAATCTACCGCGGCAATTATTTTTAAACACGCCGTGTAGATAGGGATCTCGTTGAGTGGCGAGAGAGAAAGACAGAGAGAGAAAGAGAGAGTGTGTGTGTTCACGTAAATCGTCCCGTGTCATCCCTAAAATTGGGCCGCACAAGTTTATGTAAATAGCTCGGAGAGCACTTTCGGCGAACAATTTTGAACAATTGGTCGTCGAGCTGTCTCAAAATCCACTAATGGAAAAAACTGCGCGACGAATTCACGAATGTAGGATACCCTTTCTGGCGTAGCGTGTCGCTTCCCGCTCTCCCTCCCCCCTCTCTCTCTCTTTCTCTCCCTCCCTCTCCTTCCCTCCCTCTCTCTCTCTCTCTCTCTCTCTCGCTATCTCGTCGTTCTCCTCCTCGAGCGCGCTTTCACGGTGCGCAAATCGAATCAGAACGCCCCCGCAGGGTCGACGACAATGTTATTTGTTAGCGGAAGCGTCGTAGTAACCGGAGGTTGAAACGAGGCCAGATTGCCACTGTGATCGAGTTAAACGGTACGTGGGCAGTAACGCCGCTCTCTGTGTCTCTGTGCACGTGCGAACTTCCTCTCCTTTTCTCCCCGTCTCATCCTTTTCTCGGTCCCGATCTTCGCGGAGAGTGTGTGTGGCGCAATTAACTATAAGAATTTCCGGAAACAACACAACCATGTAGCGCGGTCGACTGAAAAATTTCTCCTCCCTCCCCCTCCTCTCTCTCTCTCTCTCTCTCTCTCTCTCTCTCTCTCTCTCTCTCTCTCTCTCATGTCCGTGTAGCCCAACGAATGAAGGCAGCTTTATTTCGAGGGTCGTCGGAGAGCCGCGGATTGACACGCGGCGACGTCTTGACAGCTTGTTAGGCTAACAGTTCACCCTCGCACCCCTCGTCTCTTCGTCGGCTCTACCGGAGTCCGTTCGGGTGTTCGGTTACCGCGATTTGCGCGAACGGAATCGCATCTTTCGTTACTCGCTAGCCAGCAGATCGAATTGATCCTACGGGCGATTCTTCTCACGCGAGCTGTCGTTGCAGTCGCCGATCGATTTGCAGCGATCACGACGCGAGAAGCTGCGTTTTCGCGAATATCTTGTCGTTACGTATACACGTAGAGGACGTATTCGTTCGCATCGATACCGAAGCCCAGCGACTGAAAATAATGAAAGTAATGGGAACACGCCCACTGCATTTAGCCGGCCGAACTGAAGCGCCTCTCTGGTACCCCTTGTTGCAACCCCTTCCACGCGCGACCGAGACTCGTAACACGCCGCCCGCTGGCGCCTTGTTCGTCCTCGCTCTCGTCCTCTGCTCTATTGGCCATTGTACCTGCCACTTCATTGTCCTTTATTTCATTATTTTCGCCGCATTCCGCTCCGTCCTCGCTCCCCCCAGGGGCGCGAATTCTCCCCCTTTATTTACGTACCGTAATAATAGACGTCTTAACGGAATCTAATAAACGTCATAAATGGCCCCGTGATCTCATTACTTTACGAGCTTACCTGGCTAGCCGGCGCCTTTCTTCCTCTGCCAAACGGCGCGCGATAGCATCTTCCTGATGCGCGCTTCAAAGGGCAATCTATATCCTCCTGCCCCACCGCGCTATCGACACGTGTTCGTGTGATTCACCGGTGAGATACCGTAACGTTACGTCGGATAAGCATATCGCATACCTTGAAATCATTCTTGCAACGAAAATTTGCAAATATAACGAACACATATATACACAATAATTGGTTTATATGAACCTCTTTCCCTTTTCTCTCTTGTACCTCTCTCTGATCTGAGAAATGAAGCGCGCACGGTCTCTATCTCTCGACGCGTATATCTATCCGATGTATATCCGAGAATGTACCTCATGATTTCGTCCCGATAACACGATTACGATCCTCTCTTCGTCCTCTTTCTCCACCCCTCCGCGAATCTGTAGTGAGAAGGGAAAGCAGGGAAAGAGAGGAGAGAAGAGAGAGGAAGGGAAGCGTGGCGCGGCGCCACGCCGCCACCCTCTCTTCCTCTCTATCTATCTCACTCATTCTCTCTCTTCCTCCCTCTCTCCCTCTCTCTCTCTCTCTCTCTCTCTCTCTGTACGCATCCCACTGCCCCGAACCGAACCGACAGCCGACAGAGTAGCTTCGCTCGCTCTGATCCCTCGCAATTACTTCCCATTATCTGGGTATTAGGATTCACCCCAACTGGAAGCACGACGTGCCCCACAGGCGCCGCCTGTACAACGCGCGCGCTCGTTGGAAAATCCACTATCTGCTAGAACATCGTTTCTTTCAAGATAGGTACACGCCCGCCGCCAATCTAACGTGCCGCAACAGGTAGCAAAAAAGCTTCGCGAGCATTAGCGAAGGAATCATTGCGAAGGACCACGTAGTCGCGGTTAATTGTGATATGAGCTACGTCCATATACCGGCGATCAAGATCGGTCCGTGAGGAAACACCTGAGAACGATTCTACAGTCACGCACGACGTCGAGTCTCCCTTTCGCTTCCTAGTCCTTGACGCTTCGTTAGCTCTCGGAAATGTCTCGGACCGTAGGTAGGTGCTGAAATGTCGCGTCGACGATTAGCGAGACGATTATGCAGCAAAACTCGAGAGAACGCGTGACTCGTGAACCACGACGCAATTAAATGTCAATGCCGATGTTCGGACACATTATCCTCTGTATTGCCCGTCCTCTGAATCATACTTCCCCAAGTAGCAGAATGACGTCAAATGACGCATTAATGACATCTCTGACGTCATTAACACGTCATTCGATGTCGTTTATGTTTGCCGGGCTTTTACACGGAGAGAATTCTATAGTAAAAATTACTATGGAATTTTGTAATTTTGTAATAAGGAATAGATTGACATTTTGCACGGTAACTGATTATATTTTTTCATTTCATGTATCTTGTATATCTTTTCAGATATTTTTATACATATACCTTTCCGTTTCATATTTTAAAAACTGAAATGTGCTATTGAAAAATTTGCCACACCTAGAAAAAATGTTTAGTATTTATATTTACGTAGAGAAATCATTACTGTAAATTATGGTCAAGAAAACTATTGTTTTATTATATTCTACTGTAATATTTATTATAATAACTTTATATATATATTACTACTACCATTTTCGCAACTAAAAAATATGGCTGGGGTCAACAACAACTATAATTTTAATTAAATTAATCGTTTTCTCTCTTAATATATGTTTCTAGCAAAATTTATTATGTTTCTTAGCAATATGGATCAAGATAAATCTTACTGATAGTCTATTCCTGCACCGCTAGAAACATAATAAAATTGAAACAAATTTATGTGGAAAGAAAAGAACTATAATATTCTCTGCGTGTAGAAGCGCGATACTCAGACTATTCCTACAAGGAGGAGAAAATACTCGTGACACCGACGAAAGTGGGAGAGAAGCTATCGAGGAGGAAAGCAAGTGTACACACAGGCATGTCGCGTTAGAGCATGACAGTTTAATTCTCAACGGAAACCACGGCCTATCTTTACACTTCGCTATTAAAAAGTAACAAGAGACCAAACACCATTTATTTATTACTGCATTTTTCTATAAAAAGTAGATTTGTGTGAGAACCGGGAAGCGGCGGAGCTCCTTATTTACGTTATAGCGAACGAGAAGATCTTCGCGCGACTCACCGCGATCGATTCCGTCGAACATCTCGCTGAATTGCCACTCAGTTCTCTGTTCCCTTCCACCCATCCCGCCCTGCTTTTCTTTATTAATTCATATAAATACCTCTCGAAGACGCAAGACGACGTTTCTTTATGCTCTCTAGCCCGCGAACTGGATGATCGCTCTCTATTGAACTCCACGCTCAGGTCTCGCGTGATTCGTCGGTCCGCGTGGCGAACTTGGTGATTTCCGACGGATATTCGTTCCGATCGTCGCGAACGTCGTCGTCATAAGATCATCCCCTTCCTCTCTACGTGATTGCCGTGATCCTTTGCAAGAAACGGCCGATCTCGACTTTTCCTCATTACGACGTCACCTCAGCGATGTTGACGTTGTTGGGCGGAATGCTGGCCATGTTGCGGCTGATGATGCAAGCCGACCGAATGTGGGTGTGGATGGGAGTGCGAGTGTGGGTGTGAGTGCGGATGAATCGTGTGAAGGATCCTCGGTGGCGTACCGCGTCTGGACAAAGGTGGCAGGGTGGTACTTCGCGTCGACGTCGGCGCCGGTGGTGTCGATGTCGAGACCGCCGACGTCGACGTCGGCATCATCGTTGACGTCGGGGTAGGCATCGGCATCGGCATCGGGGTCGGGGTCGGCGCCGGTGTCGGCGTTGCGGTTGGTGTCGGAGTCGGTGACGGCGTCTCGTCGCCCAGCACGTCGATCTCGTCATCGTCCTCGTCGTCAGAATCGGCGGGTGCGTCGCTGCTCGCGCGAGACTCGCGACCGCCGCTCAGCGAGAAATCTACGGGACGTTCTGTCAACACGAATGAACGATCATTGAATAATGGCAGAGGTGATGATTCGCGCGGTAATGCGACGGATCCACGAAAATGTTCACAGAAAAACACTATCTACTTAAGAGAATGCTAAAGTCGATGAAAACTCAAAAGAGGCAGTCAATGATGCAGAGACGATTATCACTAACACAATCACGCTATCTTTTGCATATTTCTTGTATATACAGAACTTACGTAAATGCGTGTTGCTTTGTTTTACCATATTCAGCGGAAAACCACACGTGCATGTAAAATTTTTCTGTAAACTTTTCGGATATTCTTAAGCCTCTGAATTCAGATGCGAAGATACAGCAATGTTCTTTAAAATTTTTTGTTTGGAGCATCCACACTTTCGGTATACACAAGCTGCGGAACTTTTGGAAATATTTTGTGTTTAATGAAAATTATTTTTTATGATAAGAACACAGATTTTTCTTCATTCAAAATCATATAAAATATATTCTTGCAAATATATTGTCTCTGTTTCGTGTTATATAATCTCTCATTTAAAGATTACCAACTCAAAAACATCATTAAAAACCTAATAATGTCAAAAATTAATAAATTCAATATATTAAAAATAAATATATTTTCTAAATAAGAATGTTTTCTATATTTCCAGGATATCGCAAAAGTAGGTTGCATGTATTCCCTACATATTCGAGATGTACAGTATGTTACGTGAAAAATATGCGGGATATGTCTAATTTTTACGTTTTCTCAATACGCACTGAGAATATCTTCTGGTATTCTCACTATTACAGTATGTAAGTCTGAAAAATATATATAAATCTATATATATGAAAAAAAACATTCTTGTTTAGGAAATATGCTTATTTTTGACATGTAAATCTTAAGATGGGATTACATAGCGTTAAACGAAAATAAGTTACTTGCATCAACACATTTTATATGATTCAACAAGAGAAAATCTAATCTTATTATTCAAAAATAATTTCCGTTAATGAAAAGCACAAAATATTGAATTGGGGATTTGATGTCTTCAAGTGTCGGAAGGAAATATCATTACTACCGAAATAATCATATTGTTCTTCTTATGAGACTGTAATAATATCCAAATGAAATTATACATTGTTGAAATTCAAAAATTTCAAATTATTCTAACAAAATTATATTTCGTTATGAAACAATGCTTGCTAATTTGAATGTATCAGTTTTAAGATACTAATTACTACTAATATTAATTTTTTTCTGTACATACACGACTTTCTCAGTCACACTGAATATAGGCATATTCTTCAGATCTAACAGAAAACAAGAATACAAACATTGTCAGTGCATTTTTTGTATATAACACAGTGCATATCTCGAATATATAGCTACTGCGCTATTTGCGATATCCCCCAAACATTCTCAGAATGCGCGTGCTATTAGAGGATGCGTCGCGAGCTTGAATCTCGGACGAAAGCGTGCGAAGGAATCGCGTGTGATCGATCTTCACTATGAGGGAATTATCGTAATAAAATGGCGCAAAAAGTCATCATTTCGATTCCCTGAAATTCCCTCGATCTGGCTTTCGGG